AAAGTTATCACTTCAAAAAAATCGACACCGCATTCCTTCTTCGATACTTTTCGGTGGATCGTCTTGTATTAAAGATAATACCGTATATTTTCCATTTTAAATTAAAAAAAAATAAAATGGCACTTTTGTATTACAAAACCGTAATTCAAAAAAATGTATGTAATAGATTAGATTTTAATCGTCGATATTCCATTTACTTYTAGTTGAGAATTACAAAAATCGTTTCGGTGTACTTTTAGAACCTCCCCTGGTAGACAAAACTCGATCCCAGTTTTCTTTATCTGTGGATTGGGCGGGCTGCAGCATGATTGCCAGACACTGCAGTTTTCCACTAGTTGCAAGGCAATTTCCACATCCAAATGCATAACTTTAAAACATAAGCTTCTGTGCAAAAGCATCAAAGCTTTTAGTTGGGAAGTGAACATATGCATGATTAATAATGAACGATTGGAACTGATTGGTGAGGGTCTGAATCTGTAAATTTTACTAATTTAAGATTTAATTGTTGTGATATCTTGACAACACTGTACGCGCCCACGCCTGTAAATGTAACCTAACCTCAGTTAATTTGTAAAATCTGAAGTCTACAAAGTATACAACAGATGCATTTTTTGATGTAAACTTAAGTTAAAAACGTGGTTGTTTTGATATATTCTCATTGTATACGACGTGCATCTTCTGGAAGTTCTTGCCAGTTTTCAAATTACCATTCTTATTGAAAGCAACAACTATGTTTAAAGGGGACATAAATTTCCAGTAAGTTGTTCCGTATCCCTAATACTGTTAAACTGCAAACATCTACTAATATTCTATATTTTAGAGAACTAATAGTTGTTACAGTATTGTAGCTTTTTTGTGCTTTGTACGTAAATAGCAAAACATTACTGTTGATCTCGTTGTTCGGTTATACTTGGTTATACAGGTTGAATAAGTTTATACTGTTGGGACTGTCCGTTGATAAAGCACCATATTTTATGCAAAGTTTGTCAGTTAAACATATGCCGAGAAACAATAGCTTTTTAGTCAACAGGGTGATAAAGTTTCCTAGTGTTTTCTACGCAGCTTTTCTGGCTTTTGTGATCGTTTATTTCAAATTTTGCCCCATTTTTTTCAGAACGAATATCTGAAGATCTATTTTATGATATGGCCTTTCATATATCCGCAGAAAGTAGTCCATTCGACCAATAATTCTACCAATAACGAAAAATACGAATCGTTTTTATCATATTATATCACAAAATAATGTATTTTTTGAGTTTCTTCCTAGTTTGGGGTAAAGTTGCCAATTGTTAAAATGCTGATATTTTATTTGAATGTCTGTAAGATTGCACTATGCACACTATTGAGTTATGAATAGAAGAACCATTGTCTTTTCTTTATTTATACGTGCAGATTTTTCTCAAATAGACAATTTCATATTTTGATATGTTGTTTTGGGTGTTTTATGACGATATGTCAATCTTTAGAAGTCAATTTTGATATATTTTTTTCGATTTCATCTTTTTTTTGCGAAAATACTAATACAAATCCAGGTAAACCCTTACTTTTGTATTTTTGTGGTTTGTTTCAAAGTTCTTTCGCTCCAATCCTCACCAAATGTGCGAATTTCAACACAACTTACATTTTACAATTATTTATACATATTCAGTGTCAACCGGACTCAATAGGACTAGAAGAACTTTATGCTATTTGAGCTCCATTTATGCTGAGGAAGTTCGGTGCGGAATTCAGAAACATTCAGTAGTTCGCTTAGCTTTAGAGAAAAAGTCAATACCACATTTTTATGTACTTTGGCTATATTCAGGAATTTGGTTCTCGTTTTTTATTTTGAACATTTAGGATTTTTTTTATTGGTTTTCGCATTTCTTTGAACATATTTTGTTCTGAAGCTTTTCGACTCAATGCTACTGAGTATCTGTTGACTGGCATTTTATTAAGATTTGTTCCTTCCCCGACAAGAAGTGTCGTTTGGGAGACAAAATCTTCATATTTTCAACCTGACGAATTTTTCGTCCAGGAAACAAGAATTTTCCTTTTCGAATTTTCCTTCATGAATGTTTTTTTAAATACTCCGTATGGACAAAATATATGCCAAGTGGATCGATTTCTTTCGGGACCAAATCCTCGTATGGGGAACGGGCAAAAGAAAAGAAATTGCAACGGCTCTTATGGGGACTGAATCTTCAAATCTTTATAAAACCACCAAATCTCCATTAAACAGACTAATTTTTAGTCACTCAATTGTGGTTTTTTTGGTTATCTCAACATATTGAACGCTATTTGGTCATAGTTCGATTAAAAAAATTATAATTTTTTCGTTCAAATTCGATGGCGATCTTTTTTTTTGATTAGATTTGTTATTTACAGTATTTTATCATTAGCAAGGATCGCTTGTAAAAAGCGAAAGTTAAAAAATATTTGCATTAATTCAATTGCTTCACCGTAGAGAGCTGATCGCTTCTGGTACAACATTTGAAGTTGATACATCTAAACCACCGAATAATGATGATCTCGCTGAAATTACCGAAAAGGAATACAAAGAGGAAGTGCTAAAATATTGCAACTTCAACTGTTTGGGGGAATTTGAAGACGATGATGTTTATGACAGTCGTGAGCCATTTTCAATACTGGCATCGAAAATGTCGAATTTATGGGAGAATGGAGACATCAAACATCGCATATTAAGGGCGGGATATGGAAATAAGCCTCAAGAGCATTACATTGTTAAGGTTCACTATAATGCGTATACAGAGTTCAATGAGGAGCCATTTGATTGTACCTATGCTCGGAAAAGACCCCATGTCTTTGTGATTGGGTCTGGGGAAGTTCTTCCGGGTAATATTCAATAGTGTCTAGATTTTTGTCAATTTAGCTCCATTTTATTGATAGGTCTGGATTATGCCGTACAGTCAATGCAACTGAATGAAAAATCCCAATTTCTAATCAAACCGCATCTGGCCTACGGAGATTTTGGTTGCATGGAACGTATTGCTCCAAATGCGACAGTTCTGTTTGAAATCGAACTACTAGAGATAATTGAAAGCAAAAGTAACGATTTTCAGAACCTCCCTGAAGAAGAAAAGAATGATTTTAGTCAAGTGTATAATTTTTGTTTGTCCCAGTGCACCAAGGGTTAGTTAGATTTAAATCAATAGACACAAATTTAATAAAACTAAGAATTGCGATTCCAGGGAAGGAATTATTTAGTCGAAACATTACATCTGCTATAAGAGAGTACAACATCGCCGTGGCAGCATTAGAAAAGGCCCAGTTAGAGCAATATGACGAGCAAGTCAAACAGCAAGAACTACTTTACAAGCTGTACTCGAACTTGTTGGTTTGTTATACGAAAAATGAGGAACCCAGAAAAGGTTGTATTAATTTTAACAAAATCAAGTACCTTGCGTGCGGAAAAGAAGTCCAAGTATCCGCGAAAGCTTATTTCAACAACGCCAAGTGTTTGAGAATGTTGGGGGAATATGATCTGGCCAAAAGCCGCCTGCAAAAGGCCTATGACTTGGAACCGCGCAATTCCGATATTTTACAAGAGTTTAAAGTAATAGACAGGGAACACAAAAAATACAAGGACAAGCAGAAATTGATGGCCAACGCATTTGTGAACACTGAAAAGTAAAACAGGTAAATTATTTTTGCTGAAGTAAATTCAGCAATTTACATTTTCAAAATTGTTACATGTTGTTGCCAAATATTTATAGAATATAAGCAGAATAATTTTCTTTTCTTTTTAATACTATTCTCATGATAATGATAAGATTTACAATTGTAGATGGATTAAATATGTTTTATTATTGAGGATTGAATTTGCAGTTGAACTAGCTGACGCCGTCTACTTCAGATCAATTCTCAATAATAAAACATTGTATTAAACGTTTGGTGGGCAACCTGAAAAATGGCTGTTATGATGGAAGTTGTGTTGAATTATTACAATGTATTGAATATATGTTAGTTCCTTTGAATCTCAGGACAAATACATCCTAGTAAAATAAATGTATTTTAAGTTTGCAAAACAAGGTTTTATTTCAGTAATTTTTGTAAGTAAATAGAGCATCTCAACTACAATATATTGATAGTAAATCTAACAGTTTCGGTCCTATTAGTATTTTGAATAGTCATTTCCCATGTTTGCTACAGTCTTTTTACGGCAAGAACAGAAAAAACTCACATTTTGTTACAATATTCAACATTCTAAATATGTTTATCAAACTACCCGATTTTTCTGTTGCAATCTTAAAGCGTTGAAAGCGTCTTCAACGAGATCAGGTTGTAGATTTGTTACCGCTTTTGAACTTTGTTACCTACGAAAACTTATTTGTTTCAACTGTTTGTTTAAATATGTATATTAAATGTGGTAACAGAGATATTAATTCAAATTACTTGAAACAAGTTGGAATACAAAACACAATCACAAATCGGAAAAGTTTGTAGCAAACAAAAATCAAGTCGTGTTGCTTTTACACGGACACCCTATTTATTTTATTTTAATCCAATCAACTTCAATAGTTTGAACGTGTACGAAAATTGTGGCCCATCGTAATATCTATATTTGGATTTTTTTAAAGCGTCTTTTTCTCGTTTAATCTTACTCTTTAAAATGAACTCACCGCATGCATCTTGTGCTAATTGATTAACTCAAGTCTTATTTTAAGAAAATATATTTTTTGCTCGCCATCACCCACATATTCATTCATTGATTCCAGACCTCGATAATTCTTTCACAGAAGTTTTCCCTTAACGGCAGGAAATTGAATGAAAAAATTCCTGTAAACCTTCGGTGGCAATTTAATTAGATTAGTAATCGACTAGTTCGTGGGAGGAGAAGCCTTTAAAAGTTATTTCCGTTAATCGTTTTGATCATATCAATTGGTTTGTAGATTTGTCCATAAAACGTAAAAATGCTCAATATTTCTGTCAAACTGCAGCAGGATTACAATTTTTGCTGCTATGAAAACTCAAGTCCAATAATGATTTTATCAATGTAATTTTAAGCCTCTGCTTATTTTTTAAGCGAGAGCAAACACTCTTGCTTAGTGCAGAACGGAAATGGAAACGTCAGTTTTGAAAGCACGAGGCAAATAATCAGCATTTTTACGTGAAAGTGCTTTTTTTTGCCTAATAATATTTTTAACTTATGATCGAAAACAAGCAGAAACATTAAAATCTCACAGAAGAGAGCTTAAGTAGCAACTGTTAGCAATGTTTAAAACTGAAAATGCTCACGATTTTGTTCAAATTACAGTACAATTTAAAATTTTGATGCTGTGAAGACGCAAAACAAATTCGTAAACGCTTTCACAAAATTGTACGCTCTCGCCTAAAAAATATAACTTCTGATCGAAAACGCGTAGTGGAATGTAATTCTCCAAACGTATAGAAAACACCTTTCTTTGAAACTGCTGAAAACTGCAAAAATTTTTGACGGCTGCGTAAAAGTTTGGCTTAAAAATGAACGTTTCCACATAACTGCATTCTCTGCTTTAAAAAATCTTAGCTTTCAAACTAAGTGAATTAAAAAGCAAGCTAAAACTTTTTCATGCAAAAGAGACACTTGAGTCTAAAAATGCAAATATGGTTATAATTGCCGCCTTTATCCATGGATATTATGAAATCGATATGATACTAGATGATCTTATGTTCTGGTTGGTCTCAACGGCCGATATATTAAACTAAAACTTCAATTGCCCTGAAAAGTCGTTCTACTTTTGAATATTTTAATTACTTATTTTCATATATCTATGTTGTTCATCCCGACAGTGCTGTGACTATTAGTTAAATTTGCTTATTTTTTAAACTAAGGTTCGTTAATTAAAAGTCGCAACACCTACCTGTTTTGGCAAAGAAGTATCAACAAGAGGTGAGCTTAAGGTTTGAAAATAGTGCCTTAAGATATGAAAAGTAAATTAGTTAGGATAGATATAAAAGATAGATGACTTGAGAAATGCTCTTGTTTAGTCGTGGGCGAGAAACGCTCGACGTTGTATTCTTTATCGATTGATTTTGAATGTCTGATCACATTTTCTGTTTTTTTTTAGTTGGTGTGTATTTGTCTTTAAACGTTCTAAGATCAATTATATTAAACATGTGCAGTTCCCGATACTTTCCCTTAGGATATTATCTGAAGTAGGCATTGAAATTGTAGTTCAAGTAACGAAAAATTAAATTCTTACCAAACTGTTTTCCACCGGCATCCTCAGGAGGGCCTGTCTGGTTGCCTTCAAGGTAGCCTCCCGAAGTTATAAAAAAGCCATGGGCTTCGTCTTTCCTCCATGTCCAGCAGCAGTCGTTTTCAAATTTGCAATCATATTTCGAGACGACCGGTTTATGTCGGGCATAACTTTCCTTCTTTAGCTCCTTTAGTTTGTCAATTTTTTCATACGTAGTCTGGAAAGTAACAAGAGCACATTAATTGACAGAAATCGTGATTGGGATGCGGATAATGGAATTTATGAATGATGAGAATATGAGCAAAATAAATACCTAATTTAATGCCTGCAAAAATTATTAATAGATCAAAACGGTAAAAAAATACTCACTAGATCCGCTTTGGATTTCTTGAACCCAGCAGTAATATTTATATCTGGTTTTGCAAATATTTCCTGTGCCACCACTGTGTTGTTCCTCTGCGCCACATCTTCCTCTCTTAGTATACGATGAACTTCCAATATTTTTGAACGTATAGTCTTAGTCCGCTTAAGTCTGCAATTGCATTTTTTAATTCATTAATTAACATGCGCTTCCAAATTTTCTTTAGTTTTGATATTTTAAATTAGATTTATGATTGATAAGCAAAATGTTTACAGCATTTTTGTGTAGTTGTTAGTAGCAACTGTCATTATTTCAGCCAATAGTATTCGAACTTTGGCCGATGAATCATGCTCATATGTGCCTAAAGTCAGTTTATGGCAGTTGTCTCGTAACTGGCATAAGTTGTTGTTAAAAATGCGGATTTTAGTCGAAAAACGATCGAAATTGCATAAAAATTGTTGAAAAACGAAAAAAATCGTGGAATTGGTGGAAGTCAGTGAAGGTTTGTGTGGTCGGTCGATGACAAATTTAAGTGCAGAGAAACTCTCAACAGGTTTATATGGATTACATATAGCGACTGGAAGTGCTTCCATATATTTCCACTCAGTAAGTAAAATAATACAATAGACAATTATCAACCGTATGTATCTGCAATATGCAGTTGCGATCGATGATGGGAAACAAAGGGAAACTTCTTTCAAAGGTCCGCCAAAGCAAAAAGAAATTAATTTTTCGTTCCAGTTATTCATGTTCAATACCTGCAAATATTCATTACTTAATGGGATTGAAGCTTTTTTTCATAATTCGCACTATTTGAAACCAGCCGAAGTACTTTTCTGCATATTTTTCGAAACCACGAAACGTTGAAAAGCTTATTAAGAGGGCATTTATTTACAAAAAAAATAATTTTACGCACTACAAGTTGTACCTACTTGCAAATGTTATTGGGCATATATTTTCTTGTGTCTTTCTCTAGCCCACTCTGCCTATAAAATCTTAATTAATTGTAGAAATATCGGTTTTCAGGTAAATCGCATTAACAATTTTTGTAGGAAACCAATGGTATGGAATTGTTTATATTCGCCCCATAAACTCGTCGAGTTTGTTTATTTTCTAACGATTTCAGATAAAGGAGACCTAGTTGACCCGGTTTTGCCCATGATTAAAAGTAATTGATATTTTGTAAGATTTCTTTGTCAAAACTTGTAGTGGGTTTCCTGAAATGTTTGACTGTTTCCTCAGTATACTGACAGACGGAAGGAGGTGGTGAGACTAAACAATTATATGTATTTCACTTTAAACTCACGGTTACTCCTATGCAGGGTGTAAAAAGTACAGATTGTTTATCTGTAAATTAAATTACTTTTAGGTTTTTGAGATATTTAGTTTGTGTCTTGCTTATTGCAATCAACTTTCCAAAGAAATGGGTGAATCCGTTTAATTAGAATAATCCTGATTTTATTAATATCATCAATTTTTCGAGTCTGGCGTCATTTCCACTTTTGTTTTATCCCCTTAACTAGTATTTCTGGATATTGTTCAGTTTTTGGTTCCGAGAAATGGTTTGAATATGTTTATGTCGCAAGTGTTGTAATTACTGCCCGGATCGTGTGACGAAGTGACTATAACACCTCCCAATTCTCACGGTATAGTGCGCGCCAAGAGATGCAAGGCTGGGGGAAAGCCCAGCCAAAAGCCACTAACCATGAGATAACAAGCGCATATCATTGTATCAGCCTTACCCACACATGCAGGGCTTCTGTGTGGGTGGACCTAACCCTTCCCTAGCTGCTCCTGGGAATGATGGGAAGGAAAACACCCCCAGAAAATACCGGCGGGACTTCCTCAGAAGAACCGGGCTCCGCATCTGGCAAAGTACCGAAGGGTGGTAAAAAACTCTCGGGGGCCACCGGGCGGAAAAACCACCAAAACTGTGCTAGGTAGACCCTCAGGGGAACAAAGCAACCCAAAAAAGCTGCCACGACAGGGACTCAAAAGCGACACCAGTCGGATGGCAGCACACCCCAACTTCCTTTAGGGAGGAAGCACACAAGTTGTGTAAGGTTGAGGTTTCCGGGATTAAGATGGCCATAGCGGCGGTCGGACATCCAGAGAACTTTTCTCCTCAGCTGGGAACTCATAAAGAGGCACCTGCTTGGGAAAATATGACTGACTACCAGACCAGGTCATGCGTCGTACCCCCCTCAAGATTCTTCTGGAATTCATTGAATACACAGGGATAATGAGGGAGTCAGGGGCGGATCCAGCTTTAAATTCAGGGGGGGGGGTTATGTAGAAAAATACAGTCTTCTGTTATCTATGAAATTACTTAACCATCGATAAGGAAATGTTGCAGTTTTCTCAAAAAATGCTTGAATTCAAGAAGTTTTATATTTGCGTGGTTTTAAATTTGGATTTGATAAATTCCCGTTAGTAATACTTTCATACCCTGACTCGGTTATCAAAAATATGCTGCAACGTTGAAGAATTTTGCGAAAAAATATATAGTTTTTCGAAGACTGTCCTAAATCAGCAAGTTTTCTAGCTAGAAATAAAATCGATTTAACTTCAAAACACAGATGATGGAAATATCTGAAGCTGGAACTTTTGTTGTTTACTGAAACGGGATAAGGCAGCCCGGGGTGATTGCAATGCGCCTTTGATCAAGTAATGAAACAATGTAATTTTTACTACAAATCACACGGTGGAAAATTTTGGATCGATAATTTCGCCTATGAAAAAATCATGTCTTATTAACCACTTTCTGTCTTACGAGCTGACTTGGACCATAAGCTGGAAGCTTGAAAATAATTCGGTCTAATTTCTCTTAGTCGATTTCTTCATACGATTTTAACTTAGCATTTTGGGGTACTGCCAGTGCTCCTTATTAATCGAACGTCCGGTACATGACATTTAGGAACATCCTGTTTATTTAAACTAGTTTCGCATTTTGAAATTTATTTACTATTGTCTCCAAATTTATTATTTAGATAAATATTGATGACTGATATCAGATATTATGATGCAATAAGGCAATAACATTATTATAAATCCAAAGGGATTATTTTCGGTCAAAGGAGGATATGAAAAATGTTAATACTTCTCGCACATGACTTTTAAGACTTCTTCTGTATTTAATTACAAATTAGAGTAGTTTGTAAATTAAATATAGTTTCATTAATCATTCAAATTAAATGTTGGATTGAAGTACGTTTTATACAGGGTGTTCTGTAAGCACATGATCAAAAGGGTACTGCGATATTCTTTGGATCAAAAGAAGACGATCTGACCTAACTTTTATTAACAAAAAATGTCTGGCTCCTCTGATATTGATGGTCAAAGTTCTTCAAAAAAATCATCTTTTTTGAAATATCAGGAGAATGGTACGATATATTTTGGTGAAACTCGCTGTGAATTTGTTCTTATGTAAGACTCATATTTTGATGAAACAATCGAGTTTAGCCGTTTCGGACAAATGCTGAATTCTTGAGTGTCGTGGTACAAAAACTACCAGAACTTTTTATTTGGTGGATGGAATCAACTCATTTTTTCTGTTGATGCACTAATCATTTATTCACAATTTTGTGCTCTGTAAAATCTTGTAGCAGTCATAGTTTTTGCGCAAAACAAATATGTCTGTTTCCCTGCCACTTAACAATGTTAGACATTAACTGCAAATATGCGCCTCGTAAACGCGTTCGCTTTCACGCAAGTTGCCTTCGCAAAACCCTAATACTTTGACCATGTCGGTCACTTCTTTATTAGAAAAGGTCATTCGAAACGAATTTGTGCGATTGATTGACAAATTAATTTATGCCTCGTATCACGATATTTGCAGTTAATGTCTAACATTGTTAAGTGGCAAGAAAACAATGTTTTTCGCAAAAACCATGAATGCTGCAAGATTTACGAAGAGCACAAAACTGTGAATACATGATTAAAGCATCAACCAATAAATAAAAAATAAAAATAAATAAAAAGTTCTGGTAGTTTTTGTACCACGACACTCAAGAATTCACCAGTAGTCCAAAACGGCTGAACTCGATTGTTTCATCAAAATATGAGTGGTACATAGGAACAAATTCACAGCGAGTTTCACCAAAATACATCGCACCTTTCTCCCGATATAAAAAAAACTTTTGAAGATGTTTAACTATCAATAGCAGTGAGGCCAGACATTTTTTTGTTAATAAAAGTTAGGTCAGATCGTCTTCTTTTGATGCAAAGAATATCGCGGAATCCTTTTGATTATGTGCTTACGGGACACCCTGTATAACATCATGCAAATCGTTTTTGGAAGATGCAAGAAAATATAGTGTCTATTTAACGGAAGTTTTGGTCGGAATGTATTTGAAAGTATTTGTATTAAAACCTGCTGAGGGTATTCGTCCACTTAACCACCATCCTGTATTACTTAGTTCAAGTTTTAGTAACTAATACTAATTAGTCTGTCTTGTCTTAAGTGTATTGACCAAGACCGGCCACATTAAATTAAATTTAATTCAATGTTAATACTTAAGTCAACTGAAATCAGAAGAAGTAAGAAAAAACCAGACAATAGATTAAATTAAGTCTGCGACTTACCTTGTGTGATATTGAATATTACCATCATCAATGTGATTTACGAATTTAATATTGCTAAGTTCTGGACGTTTCCTTGTTCCTAAATTTACCGATTTGGCTCCATCCGGCTGGTCCCCAGCGATCTGGCACGCAGACACACGGAGCAAATAGATTAACAGGATAGTGAAAATGTTCTTGAGAGCGGTCATTGTAACTGTTTTGTACTTTTTCTTTTGGCACTATTTACAGATCCTTAATTCGGTGGCACATCATGTTGGTTTTAGTCCCTGCGGTATGTTTCCAAAGACATCTGGAATTAATAGAGCACAGTGCTGGTCGTCATGTTTTCGTTAACTAGTGATCTGATACGAGATAGGAAAATCAAAATTTCTTCTGTTATATTCAGATCAATGAAATTTGTGAAATGGTTAATCCATCCCTTATGTTCATTGTTTTACGCAAAAGCCGTACGCAAAGAGATAGGGACCAATGTCATTAAAACCCGGGAATATTTCGCTTTCGGGTTGAAAAGGAGAACGGTTTATTTCCGGAAAGCGAAAGTGCTAATCTTGCTTTTGTCGTAAATTATATATCCGGAACGGGCAGTGTTTTATAAGAAGCAAAAATTACAACTGAAAATTACACATAGATGTGGTGTTACATGCCCCTTTGGGGTGCATATTTTCGATACACTTGGTTTGAAGGGACTTACACATTTGAAAGTTTATGTGCATATGCAGGGCTTTATTGTACACTTTTTCTCACGCGGAAACGAATAGGTATTTCAAATTCCACTATTGGTAAAAAATTTAGAATCATATATACAGGGTGATCCTCAACTAATGTAGAAAAATTTACAGACATATTGTTTACGCCAAAATATTGTGTTTCAGACAAATTTGTCTTATCCGTAAGTTAATAGATTCCGAGATACAGTGTTCAAGTGTAAATAAAAATTTCGTTTTCTCTGAATACATTTTTAACCAGTTTTTTTGCCGACCTAAAAAACCCCCAAGCACAAATTTTTGTGGTAGATACTAGTAAAACTGGTTGAAAATCTATTCAGAAAAAACGAAATTTTTATTTACACTTTGACACTGTATCTCGGAATCTATTAACTTTCGGATAAGGCAAATTTGCCTGAAACGCAATATTTTGGCCTAGACAATATGACAGTGAATTTTTGGACATTAGTTGAGGACCACCCTGTATATGCGAAAAAATGTGAAATGGTAAGACACAATTCAAAAAAAGTAATTAGTGCGATATAGTAGATGTCGGATAATTTATTCTATTACTAAAAGAACTCTGTGATAGTCAAATACAATTTTAATTCCCATGTAAGTTTGTAAAGGAGGGTATCAGAAAACTTACGTTTTGTTTCTCACGAGAGATAAATTTCAGGTGAAACTTATGTAATTTTTATTTTACATTGAACTTAAATTTGTATTCAATAGCGACCGAGCCTAATGTCATGAGTTATGCATCGTGAATAACTACTGTATGTTGTTTCAATTTTTCTATACTATGCCTAACTCAAAATTAACTGTATTTTAATTTCTTCTATAGAATTTATTAATGTAATCATATCTGGGGTATTTAAAAAAAATAACATAAGTACTGTTTGTATTTTTTCTTGGTACACCCTATATGGTTGACTGTGTAGTTGACTACACAGGGTGGCACCGAAAATTTAGCTTAACATTTTAATGCGACAGGATGGGAAATTCTGAAGCTTGTTGAAAGAAACCACCGAATATAAGGTCACATTAAGAAGATACTGCTCATATGTGAACGACGTATCAATTCGAGTATTTTTTTTATATTTAAGTCAAATTATTCATATTTTGACCGTTTTTTGATACAGACGTTTGAAAATATGGCAATGGGGTTTTCTTTAGTTTTGTATGTCCGGTAGAGCTCCACAATTATTGTATCTGCAATATGCAGCCAAAATATGACCTTACTATTTTTACCGGCGCCTTTTTTGGCATTTTGCCTGCTTATATGAGAGTTTGAACATTTTTATGTAAAAAAACTACACTTAATTAATTTCGACATACATAAATGTATTTACGCTTAAAATTGCGCGACGATCCACCAATGACATTCGAATTTTTCGTTGGCCTTGTTTTGGTTTTCAACGCAGACACAGAATACCAATATTAAGATTAAGTGATTTTTCAAGATAATCTTTGAGTTACTTATGAGATACTCTTTATATGATCAAGTATCAAAACCTTTCGTGTTTGGGCAATTATTTAGTTTTATTTTATTTCAATTTTTAATGTGCCCTTGCCCTTGCCTCTGCATTTAATGGCAATAAGAAGATAAAATTTTCAATTACATATTGATCAGCTTCTACATACAGGGTGTTTCCAAATTAATACATCTAGAGAGAGATTTACTCTTAGAGGCTTGGGACGTTTAAGGAATACAGAAAAATAGTAATATTAAAAACATTTTTCACTTGAAACTTTGATATTTTTCCCTATAAGCGCCTAATCAGAAATTAAGCGAACGACATATTTTTATTCACACCTACAATGGATGTTTTTCATTAACATTACTTAAATTCCTGCTGCTAATGGAACTAGAAAATCATATCATCACTCTTATTATTTAAGAAGAATTGGATGGTCTTAATCGTTCTCTATCAGTATTGAAAACTTTTTAGGGCTTCTTTTCCTTCTTGAGTGCATCAACAGCAAAATCAATTTGCGCGTAATAAATAACACATTGGTGCGAACAGCAATCCTATATAGCTTTTAACCTATTTAAAGTATGCGCAAGGAAGGTATATTTGATATTATTATATAGTTCTTGTTTGTGAGATAACAATTTGAAAATTATAACTATTTGTAATGTATAACTACATATACTAATAGTCTGCCAATTGGCCATTGAACCATTGAAATATACTGTTTGGCAATCTTGAAGAGCTGACAAAAAATGTTTTTTTTTAATATTTTGTCCGTCCTGTTCAAGAAATACGCTTACTTGAATCCCAGTACGAAAAAACCCCTTTAAAGAAATTACACCAATTTTGTCCCTACTGTGTGGAAATGTTATTACTAATCATAACGCCTAGGGAGATATTTCGATTGTTTCGTCTTATTGAATTTAAATTTTGAAATGAATAAAAAGATATAAAATAGACTATTCAGTTTTTTCTCTTAACACATGACTTTGCAACATGTACCTAAGTATTTAAAAAAAATGTCGAATAAGCCATTTAGTGAAATGTATTTATTATTCAATGATGAATAGAAGATCGTCCGCCATATGGCCCTTTGGGACTTCAAAGAATCCGGCTTTTGTCATATTTATTCGGACAATTTCTAAAACAAATTGTTTGTTGATCATTGATAAATAGTATCGCGTAAATTAGGATTTTTTTTATGTTGGCTCTTATAAGCTGGTTCGGGTATCTGGATATGCACTGACCTACAATAACGACTTCTTATTCTTTGATATTAGCCATTGAGGTCAGCAATTTGGTCGCAATTAGAAGTAGACAATTTAATGAAAGAGGAAATTTTGTTCAATACATTTTCTGAAAATTGAGTATTGTAAACACAGTTGTAATGAATACAGTAATTGAATACCCAGTTGTAATCAATAAAACAGCTATCTTTATAATGCGCTTTAGTTCAAACAGTGCGTCATCTAACACCCTGTTGGTTATCTATTAAATAATTATTAAATTTTTAAAATATCAGCAAACGACAGTTAGACCTGGAAAACACTGTGTAGCATTGCCGTTTTCCATGTGATGAGAATTACATCTGCGCTATTTAAAAAAAGACCAATTTCTTGAACTGACTCCAACTACGCAAGTTATTTACATGGAAAACTGATTAATAAATTTTAATGTCTTTGGGGAGATATCGTGATCATATTAAGAGCATCAAATGGCAAGTCAACAAATATGATGAAGAGTAAACTGAAAATATTTGCGCTTTGCTGTGGGTGGATTTTAATTCACTAAATATCAAGCATAAGAAAAGGAGAACAGATTTTATTGCGTATTTGCTAGTAGCAAAGTATAAAACTTGTACAAATAAGTGATTAAATATTAGCGCCTTTCCTTTAAAGGGGTTACTGACGCAGAGGAGTAAAATAGCTTAACATTACAAATAAACATTTTGAAGCTTGATTAAACTTAAGCAATTTTTGTATTTGAGAAAAATTCGCGTCTTTATTTTTAATAATTATAATTAAAAAATTAAATAATTATATTAATAGTTCAATAATTGAATTTCTTCTCACGTGATGCGACATGAGAGGGAATTTATAGTTTCATCAGTAAAATGTTATCTTTTATTTGCCATTTAGTTTCACTAGTTACTTTTGTTGATTTACGCATAAAGCAACCGGTATTTACGTTAGGTTGTTGAGTTGTCCAAGTTCTGATTTTGGTTTTTTGTTTGACTATTTCTTCTACATTGCTTAAAAACCCCCAGATAATTGACGCCAGTTTTAGATCACTCTATATGTAGGAATACATAAAATATTCACAATCAAATCTGATCGCAAAAATGTGAAATACCTATTCATTCAACAGCATTATATCGGATGTTTCAAGATAATATGTAACAGGCTCAAATTGACTAAAAGCCAATTAATACAGCCACGAAATATAAACATTTATTTATAGGCGTATGTATTTGGTTTAAATTTTGCCAAAGGTAAAATTCGCTCGCTCGTATTAATCTATCAAACAATTTTTAGAGATGAAAGTGAGATGCTCCTCATTAAGTAGAACAATTGCTTTAGATTAAACAAGTGCCCCCTTGGCTCTCTTTCTATTCTAATATTTTGCTATGTTCAATTCTCATAATTAAGCATTGAACTACTTTAGAATAATGCTTGCTAAAAATATTGAAGTTGCGTCTTCAAGAGCTAATATCTCGCAAGGCACTTTTATTCTATAGATATTAACTCACTAAGAAGGTTTACCGGCTTGTACATAGTTAGTAACAATACTAAACTTATTGAACAAAGACCGATTTTTAGAACTAAATCATCATTAGTTTTCGATATATTCATGCTAATCTGAAACGCAAAACATTGCAGGTGGTTAAAAATACGAATAAAAACTTTCACCTATCGTGAGGTGTTGCGTCATTACTATGAACACTTTAGGTAGTTGTTCTAACAAAGATCTTTATTCTAAGGAATTCCCAAAGCGTTTTCGTGAAAAATGTGTTATTCCAAAACAGAAAACAAAATGTATATTTTTTAATTGTCTCAAAATCAAAATACGGCCAAATATTTTTGGTAAATATTAAAAAGGAATGAATGCTAAGTCATTCTCACAGGTTTCTCTTAAATTTAGTGTCGGCATATTAAGTCGTCTAGGTTTATTTTCGTATCGGTCGAGTTATTAAATAAACGTTTTACTTCGGTTGACTAAAACTGAGAAAAAACGAACTCGCGTCAATGAATGAGATTGAAATTTTGCGATACTTAGTAGATTATCGTTTAAATGTAGTAAACTTATTTTTTGATAGTATTTTTAATGATCAAAGCTCTTTTCTCGACAAATGTAAGAAATAACAGAAAAACTGTTAAACTATTATTGAATCACCTATTAGTTAAGATCGTCAACATTTTTTTTTTCATTGATACCCCAAAGATTTGGTTCACATTTGGCCTTTATATCACGCCTATGATACCAGCCCTTGTCATCTGACGCAAAAGGGCGAGATGATCATGAAATTATTGACTATAAAGACTTGTTTTGCATTATCAATGTGCCTAAGATGGATACTTTCAGACGTGGGTACCTTTTTAGACAGAACAGTTTGAGTCCATACGTATCCGCAACAACATTTTCGTAAAATCTTCTAGATGTTATCTTCTTTCAGCTGTAGCGCACTGTAATACTGCTGTTAATAAACACAAACACAATCCCGATTATCCAGGACGCACGAGCCGCGAACTGGCTTCTCGTTTCTGGATTGGAAATAATTATTGCAATCAGTGATCTCGCTGTTTGGGTAAAAATATCTTTCGGTACAGCCCATACTCCGTTGTGCGCGATCGGCCTGAATTTTGCACACTTTTGAGAGGCGTTTGAGGTGTGAGCAAGACGGAAAATTGCTATCGATTTTTGGAATCGCCGGTTCTGGATCCAGATTTGATGCTGGAAGACGGATCATTGCGGTGGCGACGCTAGACGGGATGCTGAGACAACGGAGATGCTCCTATACAGGAAACGGCGATTACCTGCTTATTAAAGGAATGCGCTGAGACTTTACAAGGGAATTTCGACAAGTTTTTCCGTTACTTATACACGGTGTTCCTCTGCAAACGTTGTCATTCAATATACATATCGTACAGTGTAATTCCAGAAGTAATGTACAAATTTCTCTAAAACTCAGAAGCTCGGACCCATGAACATTTTATTTTTAAACGCAATTTTTGTATACCAAATTTATTTACGCAGGGTAGTCCAAAAATAAAAGTTAGGACCATCAACTGATTTTTTCGAAAACCGCAAAAGTAAAAATTTTACATGTCAGAAAAAAACTTATTAATTATTCATATTTTTATTTTAAGGCATATTATTATACGAGCGTCCATTTGGAAAAAATGAAGTTGATGGTCGTAATTTATTTTTGGATCACCCTGTGTAAATAACTGTGGCATAAAAATCCGCATTTAAAAATAGAACAATTTACGGGTTCAAGCATTTTGTCTACATGAATTTATACACTTTGGATCAAGTATTTATAACAACCATGAAGCAATTCATCAATAAAAAACAATTCTCATTTTCAATTCATATTTAATTCTCATTCAAAAACACTTCTCCGAGAAAATATTTTTGGTGTTAAAACAGCTGGTTTCATCAATATGTCGAATTAAAGTTACTGACCAGTCAGCATAGAAAAACAGAATTACAGACCAATTAGTAGACTACAAATCATCTTCAATCAACTCGACATAAATTTCCACTGACAAAAAAGGTAATGGGTGCACAAAATCGAACTTGTCCAAAAATAATAACAAAATAAAGTTTCACAACAAAGTTTATTGCATTCTTTCTATTGTCGGTCTGCTTTTAATGTCTAAAAGCTACTCTACAATAATAAAAAATATAATAAATTATCATCTAAGGTCACAGTAGAATTAACCAAACGCTGTCAAATTACACAAAGAAACCTCATAAAAATTAAGTACAAAAACAACATTTAGGAAGGAATTTAGTTTTGTACTATTACACAAGAAACGTACTAACATGTCTACGTGCGTCCTTTGTTAAACACTTGTGCTAGTACTAATACTACGGCCGTGCCGAATAAGAACCAAGAGCCAGGAAGAGATGATCGTATGGCTTCTGAAGCTGAAACAGAAATTATCATTTATTGAAAGACATTTTATACAAATTGATAAACTAGCATTGCACAAACATGCCGGTGTTAGTATTATAAGGCTGTGCAAAAGAAAACAGTAATTGGTTTTTTGAATGATATAACACATATGTAAAAATTAATAATGCATGAATGTACATATCAAAATGAAGAATGTTTTACCTACAGAGTGAAATACAGTACGTAATCTGAAAATACCGAATTCCTAGTCATTAGTTCGGAAATGCTTCGCCTCGCAGAACCGTACTTGAATATACTTGAATTAGTCGATGTTCATTAATTTTTCTTTATCTAAATGTTAAATTGTTTGTAATTTCGAAAAACCGATTTGTTGGTCAATTAATTTTTTTGATAATAAAGATAAAATAAAGCCGGATTTTGCTACATTCATAATATTTATGTTTGGGCGGAGTAATACCAGAAAAATATCAGCATCAGTCTACATCGACCTTATGTATAGGGCGGAATTATCGTTACAACATTGTCCGAAATTCCAGTCGACGCCTTAAATTTCATGGAAAAAGGATCAGTGTCATAGTTATTACTCGATCTTCTGGTCTCAACATTTTCGATTTCTACTTATAAAACCGCTTAAAACAATTAGTTTATGTGCACAAAATACAGGAAGGACTTGAGAGGATTAAACCGTATTCACTGAATTTCTTCTGCATTTTTATAGAAGCCAGTTCAAATGTTTACGTTAACTTATGATTAACCTTGTCCGGTTGTTTCGGGTTGACATAAAATATATGTACATATTTTGAAGTATTTTTGTTTGTTTCAGAAACGTAAGTGCCTAAATATAACTATTTCCGAGACAGTGGGTAAGTTTGTGATATATTTATAAGATTATACATACATGGTGGCTAAACAAAAACAAACAGCAATTTCACGCCCTAAGAGGTCTAAATAAAAAACGTTCGGACACGTCAATTTTCATTTCCAGAAAGAACCGGTTTCGGAATTTAATACAACTCCTACCGGCCATCTTTTGGATATTTAAACTCAGCTGTATAAAGCATGTACGTTTATCAACATTTGCGGCAAAATATAAGAAGCTATAGTGATAATGACTGTTCGTCATATTTAATGAGTTATCTTAGACGATGCTTGATGAAAGTAAGTGAATAAGATTAGGAAATATTTGGCGAGCAGTTAAATCCAAAAGCTACCCAGACCTGAACTATAATCCTCTTCGTCAGTTAGACGATAGAATCCTGATAAAAGAAACCAACATGAATAAGTTCAGGCGATTAATACATTTTTATTTAATTGAAGCGTTTTTATCAGTAACTCACGTGATTTCTGAGGAATTTTACTATCATCTTCGACAGCCCATCCTAAGCTGCGTTTAATGGCCATTTTCCAACGTGTGTATTTCATGTCGCGAACTAAAAAAATAGTCGGCTTTACTACAAAATTTCTAGACGTGTTTTCGCAATCTTACCATTGGCACTAATGGAGGGAACGAAAAGATCATTCGGAGTGGCTTTAATTTTGGAAGCGTCCCATACTTCAACACCTTTTGCAGTTCCCGCCGCAATTGCGGCACCAAGTGCAGTTGTTTCCAACATAGTTGGTCTCACTGAAGAATTAACAAAATAACTTCCACAAATAAGAGTTTTAATTGAGTCGATAACATACCTACAGGTATTCCGCAATAATCTGCCTGCATTTGCATTAAGTAGTCGTTGATGGTCATTCCTCCATCTACCAGAAGTTGTTTCAATGGTATTCCACAATCTCGCGACATTGCCTCCAAAACGTCCCTAACCTGATAACAAACACCTTCTAGGGCTGCCTTTACTAGGTGTCCGGGTTTGGTTTCTTCCGTTAAACCACAGATAACGCTAAAAAAATCCGATAGATTAGCTCCTATAGTATCACTGAAGAGCTAGTTATAATACAATTTATGGACGACGGCGAACTTATGAACGATACGGTCGATTATTGACTTTTCGCTTGAATAGAGGAATGAATGGTCATCACATAAATTGATCCCCGATTTTCTATAAACTTTGTTTCAAAATTCGCTGTTATCGGGGATGAAGCATAGTTATATAAAATTAATAAAAAGGAGTACACTCTGTCCACACATCTCCTACTTTTATAATTGTCTTTCCTGCGAATGCGAATGAATGTGCGTTCGATCAAAAATATCTTCAAATTCATATATTATTATTACTAAAAATGACCGAATTAGTTTCACTTTTCTCGAAATATAAATTGTTGATTATTATATAATGTAACAATTTTGGGGATTATTTTATACTAATGTTTTTTTTCTTTGATTAAATTTTTAACCTTCTAGGCTGAAAAGTTTTATAGTAACTTAAGTAAATAAACGCCCTGAAAGCGTGAGTTCGCTTCGTGAAAATTTCACAACGCTTTAAATTATATAATTGATTCCGTGTGAATCTATATCTATGCCATTGCAAACTATTTTCAAAGCAATATCGTAGAAAGTGGGTCTAATTAGCACAGTTTCAAACATAGTTGTCGAAACGCTTTTTAAAAATCAAATTTACTCTAATTGCCTGCTGCCGAATTCCTAGATGTGATTGAGGCTCAAACTGTTCCCAATATTGAAAATCAGAACTTTAAAGATAATCAAGAAAGAAGCTTTATTAGAGAAAGTGTTGCTAAACAATGAATGCGAATCAAAATGGTGAATGCGCCAACACTCTCAGGATATTTCCATTATTTATTTTATTTTTACAAATAAATCAATACCTGTTTGTATAGAAACTTTAAAACATCAATTAAAATAGCATCTTTCTAATGACTTCGTTTAATACCAATTAACTTATCTGAAAAGTGCTTGCCTTTACTATTAAATAAGTTTATAGATTTCCTCCTAGAGGTCGCCACTCTTTATAACTCTCTGCCAAAGAATAGAGGAGTCGGTAGAAGAATGAGTGAAGTTCTGCCAAAAATTGTCTTCAGGGGGGTCTTAACTGATCCACTGTAGCGAGTGATGAGTATGGGAAATGATCAATGATTATTATCCGCTTGGTACAATTGGTCGCAACCCTTTTGTATCCAAATGTCTGACGCTACATCGAAGACCAGTGATTTAATGAAATTAAACGTATTTTGAGTTCTGATTTCGTCTGAATGTGTGAGTAAATTTGGTTGTTTTTGGCTCAACAAATCACTCATTTCTGATAACGGCTTAAGCCTGCTTGCATTTACGGGTTCTCATGAGCTTGGATTGGTATTTTTCGGTTTTTTTAGATAACTAACGGATGGAAGAAATCGCCTTAGCGCCACCAAAACCAAAATGCAACTAATTATGAACATCGGCTAATTTCACTCAACTAGAGTTTTTTTTCAAATCAAATATGGCTTTTTCACAAAGAATTAAGAGTGGGAGGCACTATTCGTTCTGTGTAAAACAATCGTTTTTTTGTTCCTATTTTTATTTTTTAACAGAATATTTGAGTACTTCTAGAGTATTTAGGTTTACAAAATTACCAATCTTCTTATGAGGCTGCTATATCACGAAATCGGCAACCACAAGTGAAATTACATTCAGAGGTTAAATTCACAGTTTCAAAAAATCACATTCGCAGTTATAACAGTGATTTCAAAATCACGCTTTAGCTCATCTCTAATTAAAACTAACATGATCGGGATGCTAATGTTTGAAACCATCTTAGGCATCAATAAGATCAACCATAAGATCCGATTGTTTAGTTATGTGTTATTTTATCCATTGTTCAAAAGCACAACTAAAACTTGACTTTGTGCACCTTTAGTCTGATAAATCACTTTTAGACCAATTATTTAATAGTGTAATAATTAAATTAAACTGGAAATGTTCGATTAACAATAACTAGAATCGGAGATAAAATGTAACAGAACGTAGTTTTTTCTTTGGCAAATGAAGAACTTAAGAAGACAGAAAGGTAATTTGTAAGTTTCACTACTTTAGACTAAGCTGCCTTCTACTAATGCACATTTTCATCCATTTTTTGCTATAATGAATATTTAAATTAATAAATAACATTAAATTTGCTGTTACTTTTCTACTAAAACGGTTATTGAAAACACCTGCAGCCATGTGAGTTGAGTGTTTGCTACAAATTATTGCTCTTTACAGAAATTACTATACTTATTGATTGGATAAGGTCTTTTTTTGATTTTGCCGCTGAACTATTAACTTACCTTCGGGCATCCTTTCTCCAGTATGGTGCATATAAACCTGAAAATGCTGGTACAAATACAACTTCGCCAGGTTCAGACATTCCTTGCGCCATATCGGCTGCTTCGCTCGGATCACTGATTATCTGAAGACTGTCTCTCAACCACCGTAAACATATTCCTGCAATCGTTTTTCTTTAATAAATAAATTAAAACAGTTTCTAAAAGGCAAGATTCACGTAGACGCTCTATTATTATTATAAAACAATGAATTCGCGCGAGTTGGAACAAACTTATTTAAAATTTCAAGGTTTCTTATTTTGAAAAAACTGTCGAACAGCTCTATCATTGCAATTCTCATTGCTTGCTGATTTTCGGTTTAATGGAGTGGTTTTTCTCAAACAAATTTTAGAAAACTCCAAGGATACAAATTTGGGGTGCTTGGATCTGGAGCTCAAGTCAGCTTTAGATAAAATATCTCCTTTCTATAAATTTGGAAATATGCATATACTATTCGCCAAAAATTTGCAAACATTTCAGCGCCCTAGAACCCTATCAATTCTGCCGGATAATGTTATCCTTATTAAATAAGATTCCGACTATTAAGGTACTCATAATTCTGAATCTTCCGTTTAATGCTTGCGAGAATTATGTAGACTTTTCAAGCTCTACTCGATAAATTCGAATTTCGTTCGTAAAATCTGTTATCATTATATCGGTAATTTTTAGTCTGCTGTTGAGATCATCTTCAATAAATTCATGTCGTAAAAATAGGCGCTATTTGTTCGTGAATATAGATACTTTATTTGTAAATAGAGGAAAGCATTCAATTGTGCGTTTTTTGGAACTATTTGTCATACCGTTTTCAAGTGACAAAACAAAGGCAATTCATCAAATCATTTTGCAAAAACGCTAAATATATATAAAAGAAAACAAATGGTCACCAATTTGAATTAAAAAATTTTATACAAAATTGATATTTGGTGTTTTTGTTGAGTGGAATAGTTTTTTTAGGTCACTACATAAAATAATATTTGGCTAGAGAAAAACAAAAATGTAACTATTTTTATTTTTTTCTGGACACAACCTTTGATTTTTGAATGAATTTGTTCGAACTCACTCGTTCAACACCGAACTTTTACCGCCGCCCACATTCATACGTACAAAGTTAATAACCTGCTATAGCGACGGAACCTTCTAAGGCATAAATCGTTGGTTGATCGGGGCCCAGCTTGTACCCCACTGTCGTTAAAAGACCATGATTTGAGTGTACCATCTGGATTTCATGAGAATTAGGCATTTCGGTAAAGACAAACAATTGTGCTTTTACTTACGCAAGTTCCAGTGTTGTACAAAATGAAACAGCCAGTCCCATAAGTGTTTTTTGCTTGGCCTATTTTAAAACACAACTGGCCCACTAAGGCTGCTTGCTGGTCTCCCAATATCTATAAATTATACTTGATTTGAATTCACTTTCGTTTGAGTTGGCTACAAAACATATATACCCCTGATATGGGAACACCGGCTAATTTAAAACCATCCGCAATATAGCCATAAATTTCCGAGCACGATCTTATTTCGGGCAAAATGTTCATCGGAATTCCAAACACTTTGCAAAGTTGAGGATCCCATTTTAACGTTTCAATATTCATTAGCATAGTTCGGGACGCGTTTGTACAGTCTGTGATGTGAAGTCCTCCATTTTTACCCCCCGTAAGATTCTGTTAAGTCGCAAACTATATCGACGTGTAACAAAAAATTGCATTAATTCTCACCCATATAAGCCAACTATCAATATTGCCGAAAATACATCTGCCTTCGTCCATGGCTTCTTTTACGCCTTTTACATTATCTATCATCCATTTTATTTTTAAGGCACTGAAATATGTACTGACCGGCAGGCCACAGACGTATTGCAAAAAGTTCTTGTCCTTTTTTCCATACTGCAAAATCTCATCCATAGTGCTAGACGTTCTCATATCCATCCACACTGAAATTCGTTAATTCATTAGTAATGACAAACACCCAGCTTTATTCAGCTGGTTTCACTAAATACCCAAGGCATTGTATAGAGGTTTTCCAGTTATTCTATCCCATAAAACGGTGGTTTCTCTTTGATTTGTTATCCCAATGGCGACAATGTCCTCAAAGTCAATATTCAGTTTCTTAAGATTGTCACATGCGATGTCTATGCTTTCTTTAACGGCTTGAAGCAACAGCATAGGATCTTGCTCGAACCATCCCTCTTGTGGACATATATGTGACACCTCATTCTGATGGTACGTTAAAACTTCAGCTGTTTTCGATGCAAATATCTGAAAAAGAAAATACGTGAAATGTATTTGTATAATATGTGTAAGTACGCTGTAGGTATATCTAATTGAAGGGCTTATTGGAAAAACATGACAAGCCCCAAATCATTTTATTGAAAAAATGAGCTACCAGGTTTCAAAAGACCTAGTTTTTGAATGAAGAGCAAATTAACTAGATCATGTATTAACATGTGGCTTGTGCGCTATTGCGGGCTACTAATATTTAGTTAACTATTCATTTATCAACATAGTGTGCCTTGACATGTTTTTTCGATAAGCCTTTCAATTAATTGGCCTTCTAGCTTGCGGATCAAAGCGCGAATTATTTCAGGAATTAGACTATATTTCCGATTTTAATTAATTATTTCAAACTAATACAAGGCAAATGATGATTAAGCCAGTATCTCAAAAGTTGTCAGGCGCGTCCTGTATTTTATTTTACGGTAAATTATGATATTACTATACGCATCAACTTTAGGAATAATGAAAAGCGCTGTTTTTCACAGCAATTCAATCCGCTTGCGAAGCCCCACAACAGTCCAAGTTCGAAAGAAACACTCAAAGTTTCTGGGTGTTTTTCGTTGGTCGGGAAGCTTTACAGAAATAGTATTTGTTACATTCATATGCTGCTTTTGTACAATTCTCTATATTTGCGTACAAAGTAACGCAAAACGCACGCCGAAAACGTTTCTGTCCGCTTCTGAATCAGACGTCCGATTTTTCACATCGAAACACTTGCTTAATAAGCTTTCGCATAATAAGGTACCGCGGTAATTATTTTTTTTAATAAAAATTCCCTTTTTTATTATTACCATGATAACGTTTGATCTCACCGCATTTATCTGTCCTGGATAGTGTTGAATAATTGAATTGAATGGAGTTTTGCGAGATAATTAACGTATTGAAATTTGTGCAGTCTAAAAAAAGTCAACATTGCATGAACACGAGTAAAAGGCTGATCCGCAAGCTCAAGGCAAAATCAAGTTTAAAAACCAAAATAAAAAATAATTCCGGTGCTGTTTACAGCGAAACACAAAATCATTCACAGTCATGATCTGCCCGATCTTTAATAAATTTAATTGTAAATGAGTGTGTTCTGTTGTTAGCACACCTTGGGTTGATTTCGAAGTAAAGATATTAATTCGTGGCATTTTTCTATTGTAAATTAAACCTTTTGGTTTTGCTGTCTTCAACGGTAAAACGGGCCTAGCATTCAAACCAAAGCTCCTAAAGGTTTAGCGGATAGGAAGAGGCTGAAAGCGGTCCTGGCCTAGTTATTGAGATTTGGCTCTGATTGTCCAAATTTAACATTCTAAACATATTTTTGCCGGTGGCCAGGATCCATCGACTTGTTTTTTTGCCGTTCAGCGCCCTTCAGGCTGCAACATTTATGCTATTTTTGTAGATCTTATATAGAGGTTTTTGCTAAATTAGATCGATCTACCATAAAGATCAGGTTTTAGAATTTTATCGAAAATACTTACATCTAAGTACATATCTCGATTCTGACTGATTTTTAATTGTTGAATTTGTTGTTAGTTTAATTTTAAAAATAAAATTAGTTTGTTTTTGTTTATTAAAACCGGCAAAAACGTTCGGTTTCTCATAAATAATTTTGTAATGTAATATACGATATAATTTTAGAAGTTATAATCTGGGTTTTTACAGTAGATACTTATATGTATTTGCCTATTTAAATGTACCTTTAAATTAATTATTTTTCATATTTTGAGATTTGAGAACTTACCCTTTACTACCAAGTGATAAATTTTATATCTTTTGCATGTAATTGCGTTTTTGGTTCATGCAGAACTGTTAATGAGGAATACGTTTTTGTTTATAAAGTAATAAATGAAAGGTTTTCTACAGTTCTACACGGATATATCTTAATATCTTCACATAACTATACATTCAGTTGTACCTTTTACAGTTGTATAAAGAATAGCAAATATGATTTGGATATATAAGTAAAGGCTATTGCCTTAGAAATAACATTCTCTCTTCTTTTTAAGTCTATTATCATCAAGAACCCATACTTATACCTACATACATAAGGTACTATTGAATCCCAACAAATGATCTTGAGTGCTTTTTAAAAATGGCTTTCGTCTTAAAAAAAATTAACAGTAGTATAGGTCAATCACTTTATAGTCTTATATGTAACCAAATAAGAATATGAGTCAGTTAACTAGTAAACTTTAGCTGATAAAAGTATCCAAATGTTGATGGAATTTTAAGTGTACCTATACAAAAAAATAAGTATTCTACATATTTACGTTTTATCATTTTTACTTGTAGGTACTTATGCATATGAATATTATAAAATAATGCAAATATTGCTATCTTCAATGTTTAATTGTTTCTCCTTGGATGTTAAAAATTGAAAAACACTATTTGAAAATGGTTCTACTAGTTTTGGTCGAATTTGCAAGCAGCATATAAACACACCTAAATATCTATACACCTAGTACTTATTGAACTTCATTCTCATTTTCATTTCACTGCTTCAAAAGTTTCCTAATTCCTGTAAGACTTGCAGTTCATACAGATATCCTAGATTTCTTGCTACGAGCCTTACGAGATTTATTTTCTAAACATTACATACCGCCTATATACACCTTACATACTGCCTATATTTAATGCAATGATTACGTCAACTCTTATTATAATTTGCACTTCGATTCGAGCTCATAAAGATTCTTTATTTTTTGAATAGTTTGAATGCATTTGGTGTAAAATAAAAATAATTAAAGACGACATGACATATCGAAATAAAGTTTTTACTGAGGCCTTCAATAACTCATAACTCCAAAAATAATACGAATTAGTCGCTTACCAAAAACCGGGTGCTGGAAGTGCCTTCATCAATAGCTCCTATGAGGGGCCCGTATTTTTCTCTTGTTGAACTCATTGACAGTCCGTAGTATGAATGGCAAAATGGAACTTAAACACTTGTATCTCACTTTGATCAGATATCGGGGTTCAAATTCCACTGTGGAGTACCATTTTTCAGGATACCAAAATAAACTAATTTTTTAAATTTTATAACCTAAAATCTTAAAATTGATAAACGTCAAACATAACCATTTCTGGAGCTCTATTCGCGAATTCAAGTCCCAGCGCCCACTGGCGGCTAAATACCAAACTACACTTTTTTAAACGAGTAACTGAGAGAGAAGTACTTGTCTCTCTGTAACAGTTTACATTTATTTTGTTTACATTTGGTCATGGTTGTTTACATACAACGACTATATTTTTTCTATATTTTATTCTGATTTATTTTCCTTATTGCGTGTACTTGTTATTACATTCCTATCTTTCCTGGGACTCACTCAAAGTGTGAAGTAAAAATTTTGAATATCGACAGCGCCATCATCAGATTTAAAATTTACACAAACTCATGATTGGTAAATATTGACGTTCTTTTAGGTCTTTGCCTCTGAATGAAATTCTCTTCTAAGACTTGAATTTTTTTCTCATATTTTTGAAACGATACAGTATCATCTAAATCAGATCTGTTTTTGATGCATGTTGAAAAGTGCGTTAAATATATTTTTTTAAATTTTCAGTTGATTTTCCCAAAGAAATAAAATAGAAAAACCATAAAAGATAAATCTTGCAACCATATTTGATTCTCAATATCAAGAACTCTATATATTCGTCAATAATGTTATACTGTAGCTTTGACTGTCTTACGCAATACTTGTACATATAATGAAATCGTTCAATAGTAGTTCGGCCTTTGCTACATTATCCGATTAGGGTGCCCCACTCTGCATATTAATACTTTCAGAAAAGGGATTAAAATACATATATGTACAACTTTTGCTATACATCCAGCAGGTAGAAGAAACTCGCGCTAACTTTGATTATAACTTCAGACTAACTAATGTCTGAATATCAAATATTTTCAACTCATCTCAAACTTATATAATTCTGATTCCAGCGCAAAACACGTAAAAGTCTCGAACATAGTATGCATATGGTATTCTTTAAGATGCATACAGAATGCTAATTATTAATTATTGACCACTCTTACAAACCACAATCTCACATGTGTGAATCGTACATTAATTAGTGTGCTAAACTAGGATGGCGTGACAGTCCAAACTAGTATTTAAAAATTTGTGTTTTTTGTCATTTTTCTGACCGAGTTATGCTAGAATCTGATTTTTGTCTACGTCTGGATGTTTCAGTAAAAATTGACTTCTTGTATAAGCTGCATAGAGATACAGAAATTTACGACGTTTATTAATGTTACAACCACAATATAGTTGTACAAATGAAAATCAAACATAAAAAAATTCGATGTTAGCGAATATTCTATAAAAAAAATCGGCAACATTATATTAGCGTGTTCAATACGATGTGGGCATATAAAGGGCGGTTAATTTGAATATTTTAAAACTGAATGTAAGACAATTCTGGTAACAATCCGCGATTGGTTTATTTTACCTTCATAAATAAAACTATTGATGCTCAGGAATAATATTTTTATATTTTCGTTTTCCATAAGTGATATTTACTGAAACACTTGATTGTTAAGGGAGAAAACATAGATTACATTTTGAGATAAGCAAAATGTTTAATTTTATATACAATTTGAAAATTTCAACATCAATAAAATGGACAACAAAATAAAATGTACAAACAAAAAATGGCAACCGTTGGTAATAAACTATACATATAATAAGTTTGCTTACTTTTATATAGGTAGGTACATTTGTATGTATGTTTACTCTGGTGTGCCGCATATAAAGTGTAATAAAATATGTTAATAGTTATCAACAAAACAAGTTTACCATTAGAAAATGTATGGACATTCTATGGGTTTTAGATACAACTTTGAAAAGGCTAATTACTATAAAAGTGGAATTTGGGAATTTATGGAATAGTTATGTATATTTTGAAATACGTGCAAAACTTATCATTTATATTAAACATTCTTGTAAGAAATTTTTGGTGCATTTGCCCTTTCAAAGATGTACGCTCGACATATCAAAACTTAATTCACAATTACTTTGTAATATTGCACAAAAACCATATTCAACTCAAACAATTATAACTGTATAAACACACATTATATAAATTCTTCATTACAATTATATTATATGATTTAATCGAAGTGACACTTTTCCTACAATAGATTAAATTTACCTTATACAAGGGAATTACAAAAATTTGCTGCAATTATCACAAGAAATCTAGTGGCGAATGAAGTAACATATTTTTGTAATTCGTGGCTAAATTGTTCGATACAAGGTGTCTATTTTTATTCCTACTGTTGTAAAAATTAAGATTATTTTTTACTATTAATTAACAAGTCATCGTCACGCACATCAAGACCATCTCCATACTACCATCAATCTTAATTTAACATACAAATAATAAAATAAAACACCCTGTATTTGTTTTGTTCTTGTGATCCTTTTCGGTTTCCAGGATTCAGCGATATAATCTAACTGTAGTGTGAATAATATACAAAGTGCCGAATTTTGTATATTTTCAGATGCTCTATTTAGTTTCCAAGAAAACGTTGAAAGAGTATCGTTATTTATTTACCGTGGATATATTTATCACTTTAAACTGTTTAACGGAAATTCTTCACTTTGTATATCGCAAATTCCAGCTTCGGGAAAATCGTTATTTATATTTCAGAACTAGATAAATATACTTTGGAGATGAATGTTTGAGAATATAATGTAACTGGTACAAAAATGTCGCCATGCACTTAAGTTATTTTCGACTTATTAGCTTTTTTGTTTCTATTTTGATTTTGGCGCGATTGCTATCTTCAAACGATTTCTTCCATTTATTATATATTTATATAAAACATTAAATCATATGAAGACATTTTGTGCACCAGTACAATCTTGTCATGATCGAAATAATAGAGAGCTAATCACACGCATTTTTGTCCCCTTTATACATCTTTAATTTAGTAAGTAGGTACTGATATTGCTTCAAATCTTTTAAATATATAAATAGCGTGACAATATATTTTTTTACAAATACGATATGCCCATATAGAGTTTAGGCCAAAACTCAACGAAACAATGATTTTAATTTTTTATTCTCCAAGTTTGCATAGACTAGATAAAGAACTTGCTTCATTCATGCTTTTTTCTCTCTATGGAACCTGAAGGTGTGAGTGCACTGGGAATAGTCGAATTTTGACTTTTACGTATCCATTTTGACTGCAATGCTTTCGAACAATAAGAAGTGGCTGTAGACCACCGTTAAAGCAATAATTAGTATGTAATGAACATTTTCTTCTGAGTTCAGAAAATTGATGTGAATAAAGGGTCAATATATTTATGATTCATAAATTATTGAAAGTTCTATCGATGGCAAACTGTTCCATATTGAATTATATATTCGTTTTACAATCGTTGACATCATGTACTTCCTTTAAGTTGTTATAAAAACATTATGGGGCAGAAAGACCGATTGGGTCGATAGCCTTTTTCTGTAGGAAATAAAGATTATTTATATATATATATAACATTATGGGGGACTATAGATAGTATCAATGCTGCTTTAATAAAATGTCTTTTAAATGGTCAAAAAACGAGTTTAAAGTGAGACATTTAATAAAGTAGGCATGTGTTGAAACGTATGCATCGTAAAAATGCGGAATTACAGTTAAAAGAGAGCTTATAACACTTTATGCTTACATTATTTTAAACAGTCAAAATTTAAATTGCACCTGATGGTCAAAATTTCGATATATACTGCCATAATTGCGTATACAACGCAATGTTGACGGATGCGTTTACCCTTATTAAGCATAGTGCATACTAATTAAATTCATGTAAATTATTTTCTATACACTGAAAAATTCTACATTATATCAGTAATAAATCGTTTCTAAAAATACTCCGGTTATATTCGCCTGATCATACATATACAGCTGCTCTATAAGAGCAAATAATATTTGACCCATCAAATATAGCCGAAGCTATTCGAGAATATTTTCTGTAAGGAAAAAAATTGATTAAGTACAAAGCCTAAGTTTCTAGATACCTCAATATAAGGCAGTACCTGCACATATGATAGATATATTTTTTAAATCACGCTTTCATTCAAGCAATTAATAATCAAAATCGTTTTTTTAGTGATGTAAGTATTTACGTTTACCACAATGGACATTTAGTTTGAGTATTTACTAATTCCTGCAGTAAAATAATGTTACTGCTGTCTTTAACTAATTTGAGCAAAATATGTTCGTTATAAAAGTGAATGTAAATTATTTTCAAAATATTAGTTAACGAATTAACGAAGGCGTATTTTAAAAAATATTTCGTTTGATACAAACTCGATAATACAAATAAATGGCAACGTTCCTCCTAGAATATGATAGGTAAAATTGCAAAAATGCTTTGTTACTTGCCCTTATATCTTAGCTGATTGGATTCGAAAAATTAATTATCTGTAGTAATAAATTAGTTTTTATAGTTAAGTAAATTTTTGGCTAATGATCTAATATTCAAGTACTTAAACATTTATTGTGGTGTGCTGAACATGTGACAACTTGCATTTAATACAAAATAACCGATAATGTAGACATCCACTTTTACCGTGTTTTCGACTGCAATTCAATGTATTCAAACTAAATTACACAAAAAGTGGATGTGGCCAAAATCTCTACACGTACAAGTGTGTAGTATGTATAAAGCTCGAAATAATACAATCTGTTGAGAAGTCGCGCACCACTCATTGAATACACGTCTAGTCTCCAGTGGATTCTTCGTTTGAGCGATGAATATGTAAAAGGCAAATCAACGGACGTTAAAGTTGAGAAAAATTTGAAACTTTTGAAATTCCGCATTGTAATGGTATCTACATACACGTGCCGGCATTAATAAAACTGTCACTGCAAGTGCTTTTTTCAGTGATCAATAGCATCTCAACCAGAAAGAACCAGATGCCTTTTACATATTCCGAAACCCGGAACAATCGAAATTCATCTACAGACTGGACTCACACCAACAATAGTTAAGACATACACGTTTATCTTACGTTTTATTTAAGTGAACTAAAACCGAAGGCAGCTCCTCCATTGCCACCACTGCGATGGAAATGGACGTTTTGCCATTTGTTGTCCCTCTTGTGCCAAACTCTGCTTTCTTCCGACTGATGGGTATGGGCCTGCCCATGTCTGAAGCAACAAAACCGCTCTTTTAGATAAAGATCTAGATATCTCAAATCTATGGATTTATTTTTCTAACTGTGTGAAAGATATTCAGATGATTTGTATTTTTAAAGCAGTTTTTGAGAAATCGTTCTATTTTTTTAAAGAAATAATAAAAATATAATTCCTACATGGCTTTTCAGAAACGCGTACGAAACTGAGAGTTTTTTAATGGAACCCTTGAATATTATTACAGATTTCGATTCTACGTTAAATTATGAGCATATTTCAGATAATACTGCCTATATCTAAGATCAACTGTTTTCCGGCTAGAAGCAACTAAAAATCGACTTTCTACTGAAACTACGTACAAAAGTTACGTCTCAAAAGTTATAAGTATATAAACAAAAACAAATTTAAATTCCAGAAATTCTTGAATTAGTTCCCCATTTTCCTGAATACATATTCTATAAATTCGTTTTTGTTTCTCTATTGCAGCTAAAATGATTCCTTGATCTCTTTCCTAATATTTCTATTCTACTGTTACTATTTCCTTAATTATATTCACCGTCGATTGATCTTCATGATTGAATTGACCCTCTAAAAACTCCCAAAAAAATTGTCTAAAATTGTCAAGTCTGAAAGTCTGAGCTACTAAACTCTTCGTTTTTTTTAAATTTTTGTTTCCTCGGAATGTTCTTTTTTACTCTTGAATGTAATTTCTTTTATATTATATTTCACTTTATGATATATTTCAGTAAAGATATTTAAATAAAGAAATCTCCTTTCTCCTTCAAATATTCTTGGATATCCTCACTTAGTTTGTCCTTTGTTGAATGAGTTTTTAATATATGCTTCATATGCAGGCTGGTCTAATTGTTAGAGACTACTATTGCTATCTTCTAAACCGTAAGATAACCGTAAACCGTAATTTGGTTTAAGTAGTAAGTAGACAAAAACTGTCTCGAAAATAAATCGAAAACTAAGTGTTGTCTAAAAAATATTTGTTTTTAAATCGCATTCATATTAAATTTAGCAAAATAGCCGTTTTACTTTCTGAGATGTCGACACTAACTCCTATTTTTTAAATACGGATCAGGGTTTTTTCCCGTTCTTTTAAATGCATATTTTTTGTGTTTTCAATTATGTTTACATTTGCCGACGTTTTGGTTGAAAGATTCCTCACCCAGGTTTTTTGTCTGAAAAATTTGAATCCGACCTTGAATTTGAGTTGAACGTTAGGTAATTCGTCTTTCTAAACCGAAATAAAATCCAATGCTTAGACTTAAAACTGAAAGACATATTTTTATAAACTGGCCGCCTCAATCGCCAGATATCACGCTCATCGATTTTTCGGTGTGGAGTTTTATTAAAGATCAGGATTTTCAAACACCTTCGGTAGATTTGGACAATCTTATTTAAAAAATTTTAGCTAGCCGCCTGTGCAAAATTGCTTACTTTTTCAGCAATTTTATAAAAGAGAGCTCAAAAATGTCTTCCTTGCAATGGAGGTCATTTTGAACATTTGTAGTTTTTGTGCGTTTGTCTTCGCAAATTGATATATTTTGGCGTTACCATCAATTAATTAAACAATATCGATTTGGCTAATCACCACGAGCTATTTTTAGCCAAAAAAGTACATTTCTTCATGTTCTTTTTTAATCTAAATAAGACAGGTACTTTTTTTCTGCTCCTCTAATTTTAATGTGGACCAAAACAGAATGTATGGTTATTTTCAGATGGCAAACCTAAAAGTTTCAAACATCCCATTTTGCAGCTCAAATTCATTCAGGGTCGGATTTGTATTGCAAAATGCAAAACGTAAGAAAATGTAAACATGTGGTACACCAAGGAAATTAGGACAAAATATGCATTAAAAGGATCGAGAAAAAACCCAGGCCTTTAATTAAAAACCCATTTAAAATTTTTTCGAGTTAAAATCAAATTATTGATAAGTGAATCAAATCGTCCCCTAAATGTTTTGGTTGAAAGTTTGAGGCTAAAAATAAGTTTTTTTCTCCCCCAAACAGATCAGTTAAGGGTAGTATTTGATTATAATTCAATTTAATCCTATGCCAACATATTCAATTTGTTTAATACAGTTTAGGCCAGAGTTGTGTTTGTGGTTACGATCGTTTGCTGTCGGCTATTGGTAATTAGGGGAAACTTTAGAAACTGTAAAATTTTAATAGTCGCCACATATTCCAGACTTTTCATAGTTTAAATAATTTACGATTTTCGAAGTCGAAATAAAAAGGTTCTTGGAATGAAAAAACATGAACAGGAGAAAAAATTTATAAGAAGTAAACTGTAAAGCGAAAGGAAATCATAATTACTATTTCTAAACACTTCTGGCTCCAACAAAAATTAAACTAAACTATTACTTAAAATTTCTAAAATATAAACAAGAACTGAGTTTTAAGAGAATTTTGAAAAATTGGACAAGAATTTTCGTTCAAGAGAATTCTTCGAATTTGTGGACTTATAATTACGAAACTTTCATTAAAATAATGGGTGATTTCCATGTTTCCGAATTAAGTTTTAATTTTTTTTGAAGAAAGGCATTTTTTATATGTGAATAGTTATATACTTACTTATCCATATACTGCGTCAGTCGAACGTATGCAATGCAGGCGGCGTCTTCTCCCAACAGGTGTACGTGTGGGTTTAATATGGTAGTGTTCACTGCTTTACAGTTCTTTCCCAATACTATAAAATGAGTGTAAATTATCGGCCCGAGGCCTAAATATTTGACGGTTGAACTTACCATTATCGAAGTAAAACTTGTGAAAGTCCATTCCTTCAACCAGGTTGCCCATCGCTTCCGGCTCGAATGCCGTCAGATGGGGGTCGCAAATTTTTCTGATCCAGAAAAATATAATTAGTCTGCATATAAATCAGTTCTATATGGTTGAAGTGGATTCATATTTTCAAAACTTTTTCATTGGGTATTTTGTCAAGTTTTTTTCTATAAAAAACGAATTTCACCCTCAAATAGAAATAAAAAACGATCGCTTAGTGTGGAACTTACGACATACTTAGCCTCAAACTATAAGAGGCAATTCAAAGTAAAGAAATTAATTTAAGAAATTTAAATGATTGAAGCTTTAGGAAAACGTTTCTAAATTATGTTGATTGCTAATTGTCATTTTGTTCCACAGTTTGAGCGCAAGTTTGCTGTAGATTCCCCACTAGGTATTCGGATTATTCCCACTAGGTTTCGTTATTATGCATCGATAATTCACGATCAATTCATTTAAGGACCGGGGCCGGAATTTTTCCATTTCCAATTCAAAAGTTTTAACTTCTCCAGCTTGTTTTCTTTGATGACGGTCCGATGAAGAAAATTTCTTGAAGCCACCAACGCGTATCCACCAGTTAAAAATTTCAAGGCAGCTTAAATCGAACATCTATTTTATCATATCTATTTTTCTCTGTCAAAGTTGAAGATTGCTTCAAGTCAATCATTAATTGAAACTGGAACGTTAATTTTATATTCGACTCGTTAAAATCATTGAAACATCATTTGAATTGTACCGAATGTATTTTAAAATCGTCAAAACCTGAAATCACTCACTATCTAAAGCATTAAGAATAACAAGTAGTTGCCTTCAATAATTTCAGGATATTTTAATTTGCTCCCATTCATTGATTGATCGTTGCCCGCGTAACAGTTTGGGTTTTGTTCACTCAGATTTATAATAATACTAAATATACATTTTACACGAGTACGATTGTATTTATATAGCGCCGAATTGTAATAAGTAATTAAATAATAGATATACGTTTATTTTTAACTTTTTTTGCTCGCAATAACAGTCGAATTCTTGGCTTCAGCATAATTTCATAGCGTTGTAAAGTATAGAATTAATGTTGGGACTTCAAAAGTTATACCATAAATCTTCTAGTTATTGAAGAGAAGTTTGTTTTCAATATTTTAGATGCCTGTACAACGTAAACAAATCGACTTAGAACTTAGGTATATTTATAAAAATGTTCTGGCTTTAAATTGGAAGAAATAACACTTCTTTTGGTTTTGTTGGCTACAAATAGGACACTGTATAAGTCAAATTTATTTTTTGATTAAGTGTTCAGAAAACTGCCGATTTTAGCTGAAAATTATTATCAAGAAGTTAAAAAACTTACGTGTAAGCCTCAAAGTCTCCAGTGTTAATTGCCTCTATTAATTGCTCGGTCATCTTAATGATTTCTTGTCGTCGAGCTGGGGAAAAGAAAACACAGTTAAAACTGATTTTTCAAAATTTCCAACATCTCTTTGAGAACAATAAACACAACATCTATAAAGGAACCACTACTACAGTGTATAGCACCAAGTACCACTGGTTTATACGTGAAGAACACTGTAAGAGGCGTAACTTCAACAATTCCATGCAGATTGAAAAAATCAATACGACAATATATCCAATTTTGATCGTTTCTATTGATTTTTCCGGGCTTATTTTCATTTCTTCGGTGTGGGTTTGAATGTGTAGAAAATCGAGAAAAAATCGTGTTATGTGTGTGGTATTGAATTTTTAAGTGCCTAATTTACATTTGAGTTTACCAAATGCAGTTCAAACTAGATAGTTGTAAATTACTCAGCCGTTAATATAGGTTTTGCAAATAAGTTGTAAGAAGCTAATACTTTTCAGCCTTTTACTTAGCAGTAGGTACAAGAGTAGTTACTGCGTCTAACTTTCCCCCATTGTCATGCGAACTTGTATTATCATTTACCTACTGTACTTTAAATATATACAGAATTATTCACTTTTTAAATTAGGACATATTCTGTTGAGTTACAAAAGCTTTTAGGCCTTCGTGTACGTTAATTTATTCCTAACGTTTTTCAAGCACGTGTTTCACTCAAATTCTTACACCCGGTCACTTATTCATCATGAGCATTACATCATCAGTCCAGAGAAAGCTTTCCTTTGCAAATGGAAGTCACTAAGTGCTTGCGAAACGCCAGGAAGGATTTCTTTTTCACGTTGGTCCAAGAGACCGAAAAACTCACCAGTTTCAAGCAAAATGACTGCAAAAGCCTAACCCTTTTGATAAGGACAGATTCACCTGCCTCAGATCCGGGCAAAAGTGTTTTGCTGTCGTTTTGTCGTGTGTTTTTTAGTGTACGTTAATTTTAAACACAGTCGACGTCATCAATTTAAATAAATGGTAATGTTTGGTCTAATTAAATAGCACAGCTGGTATTTTGTGACGCAAAAACTGATTAGCAAGAGACAATTACGAAACTGAATCTCCCTGCATAGTTCACGGGAAATACTTAACAAAATAAATGAATTTCAAAAAGTCCACAGCACACATTGAACTTAAACTATCCAAATATTCCCGACGACAGTCACTAGCTACATACGAAAGCTGAGTACAATCAACGACTTTAACTACAATGTTATACTGAAATTGGCCAGCAATTACAATGGTATTCGCAAAAAAGCGTTCTTGAATGTGAACTTCAACTCTCCAGTGAAACGTTCCTATTCTCATTGTGTTAAACGTGCACGAATCTGTACTATTTATAACATCCAACTCGGTCATTAATCTCATAGTAATACATCATTATTATTTTGAGTTTAGGTATTAAGCTCATCCGTAGTCTAATATTGATCGTTGGCCCAGAGAAAGGTCATGTAATCCAGAGGACAAAATTAATAATATATTCTCTAAGTAAATCCGAAGGCTTTAATACGACAAAAGCAATTTACTTTACAAACGAAATAATTAAGTACACGAAATTGGAAGCTGGATAACATGAAAACATGCCTTTTCCTTTATTTATTCAATGTGACGCCGTCCTATATTGAATGGTACATCTATTCCCTCCGGGAATTTATCGGAGAAGTTAATTTTGTCGAAAAGAAATATTTGTTGCGATATTTGCAGAGCATGCGATTGTTTATTGATCGCAAAGTGGCATTGACTAATATGAAACAGGTTTAGATGGGGATTCAACACCTAAACTCGACACTTAAAAGTTTCACTGAATCAGTTTGAAGTAAGTTCAGTGCACTTTACCACGATAACGAACACTACATGTTATAAGAGGATTCTATGTATGAGCTTAAATACATTATATACTACCTTCACATAGTATGTGGATCATACCTGACATCTGAGAGTTAGTCGATAGTTGCGAAAAAGGCTTGTCCGGACACACAATCCGTATTTCTATATGCAATATAAAGCGACTCGTTAGTTTAAAGGCAAAACATGCGGGTCGGGGTTTTTCATCTCTGTCAGATTGTTGCCATCAATTATTTATTTAATTATTAGCACCGAAACAGCATAATTTCTAAAAAATATCCAACCAACACTTTTGTATATTTTGTTTACTATACTTTCCAAGTGCCTCTAATTTGACTATAACTAGCGCACCGAACTTATGCTGTGCCCAAGTGAGCACCTTATGTTTGGAGATAAACCAAAACTCTTAAGCGAGTAAATTTTACAATGAGTTCAGTTTTATTACTAGACTGAAAATGAGCCCAGTCTCAATATTTTATTTATTAATTATTTACGATTGTAGTTTGAAAAGTTTACACATAAATGGTAAACTTCCAATTTTTAATAAAGCTTAATAATTTTGTAGACTGATCTCTCAGTGCACATTTTTAACTGGTGCCTGTTTAAGGTTACCTCAGTTTACAAACTTAGGACTAATTTGAAAACATCATTACTAAAGGGTTGTTCTCACAGTAAAGTTCCGAACAGTTTGTGACTCCAACAGATTGTGTTGTGTTTTCAAGAAGTCAAATATGCTTTATAGAAGCTGGAACTTAACTTCGTTGACAACATCCTGATGCGATACTGGTTGCTATTAGGGTCATGGTGGGGAGCAACAATTTTTCTTTAAAAACGCAAAAAAAAGTATTTTTTCATTAGCCTTAGTCATTGTCCATGTCTCGCATCCATAAGGAATTATTGGTCGTATACGGCTTTTATAGACTGTCACCCAAAGGACCTCAAAAGGTTCTTGAGATGCTTTTGGGCTTGAAAAAGTTGTTTAGAAAAAAGAGACTACGATTTGCGGCTTGAATTATGCCTTTTATTTCCTTTGTGACATCGTTATCGGCTGTAATTGTAGCTCCTAGATATTTAAAGGGCTCCACTCGTTCAAAATTATAAGTGTCTATTGTTACATTCTGTCCTATTCTATCTCTGCGCCTCTGTCTGTTTATGCACATATATTTTGTCTTTTCCTCGTTAGTATTGAGTCCTACTTCTCTTGTAGCCTTTTATATGCGATTAAAGATACCTTTTACTGTTGGTGTGGAATCTCCAATGATGTCACTGTCATCTGCATATGCTAACAATAATTTGGGGCCTCGCGTAGTCAGGAGTTCTGTTTGAATTTCTGCTGACCTCGTAGCTTTTTCTAGGGCGATCTTAAATAGTAAAGGCGACAAATCATCTCCCTGTTTTAATCCGCTATACCGGTTTTCCGTCTTCCATACATGCCTTCGTCTTGTGAACGAGTTTTCTTGGGATTGCGAATTCGGCCATTGCATTCCACACCTGGGATCGTTCAATGCTGTCGTATGCTTGCCGAAAATCTATGAATGATTATGGACATCCTCTGAGTATGGAGTCAGTCTATCCAGAACATTATTGCCCAGGACTTTGCTGGCCGTACTGATGAGTGAGTTTTACCTGTAGTTTGAGCACTTTGACTTGTTATCTTTTTGTGGATTGGTATTATGATGCTTCCTTGCCACTTTGTTGGTATTGTCCCCTCTTTCTATATCAAAAGAATTAGTTGGTGTAATTGTCTGTATAACGATTCCCCTCCGTACTTTAATAGTTCTGATGGTATGTTATCCGATTCAGGAGCTTTTGAGTTTTTTAATTTTTTTACTGCCTTTCGAATTTCTTCCATGGATGGTTCTTCTACAGGGAGATCTGCTGTGTGGTATGTATTTTCAATGTGTTTTTTATAACTGTTCGGGTTAGTTCATTATCATGTCTCCATTAGCGTGTTTCAACATCGGGACCCACCTGGGCTGATCCTCGTTTTTCTTGTTTATTTCTCATGATCTCAATTCAACAACTTTGAAGATAATTTTGTAGGCTATTCAATTGTAGTACTAGATTCAGTTTCATTGTAGAATAAAAATTAATCAGTTCGTATGATTAAGAAAGATGCGCGACCAGGTCTGAATATCAGAGGACAATCAAGAAATTTGCGTAAAAACAGTGTACTTTTGGTTTGAAATCAATCACAGATCTCTGTATGAACCCGAATTGCTCAGAACGGAAATCGGTTTCTTACAGCGGTGAGAACCCACCTTGTGTATTCTTATTATCATCTAAAATCTGAACAAATTAAACCAAATTGTTTGTCTGTGGCCGTTCGGCTTCGGTCTGTTCCCAAACGCAAGGTATTCACATGTTCTTTGCATCTGTTTCGAGCTCGGTCTGTACGAAAAGAAGATAATTTTCTTATTTAATCTGAGACAAAATTGTTTAGCTGAACATTTTCTTGTACTTTGTAACATAAAACTGTTGTGTCCTCGTCCGTTTCTTAAGTGTTGTATTTAGTTTCTTCGATACTTCTTCTAACAATCTAATAATTGCGTTTTCCAATTTTATACCGCAGAAAACACTGAAAAATTCTTAAATTGCGAGTAAAAGATAGATGCTGGGAATTTAATTCGTTTTTTCTGGGTTTATTAAGAGAGCAGAATACAGAAATTGATACAACAAACTTTTTATTGCTGATCGCTAACTTTGTAAGACTTTGCAAGAAAGGCAAGGATTTACCTTTTTAGACCAAACTTTTTTCAGGTACGCATTTCTCTTTAAAGAGAAATTTACATTTATCTTCAGTATAAACATTATAAAGTCAAACTTGGTTCATCGAAGGTTTCAAATCTCCTTCAATATTTGCGCCTCAGTCAAATTTTTAGGGTGTTCAATTCAATTCTTTAGAGAAACTGTCATATATTTGTTCTTCTCATTACGCTTTTACAAGACGTAATTTGCCTCTGGAGTTCTTAAACTGTCCTATTTTCAGAGTTTTAATTAGCTCACCAGACAAATCTGCTTTCTATCAATATCCTCTGAGTAAAATTCTAAATAAATTATTTTCAAGTTCCTATTTAAAGTCATACATTTTCTACTACTTTCTCCAATAATGCGGACACTAATTAGTCGATTAGATTGTACAAAAGGCAAAATTCAACCTTTCCGTTAGTATTAGTTGATTCCTGGACTTTATTCAGAGAATATAAAATTAGGAACTAAATACAACACCCAAACGGAACTAAAATCCCAAAAAAGTACACAGCAAACTGTCTCTTACGGAAAGTTATTTTTTGTTTATTTATGCCGCCTGAGAAAGGTAAACTTTGCTCGAATTGTCTTTTTAACATCTGAAACAACCACATAAGTATAATTAAAACAATCTGACAGAGTTAAATTGAGTTAGTAAATGGAAAAATCGGGGCATAAAATCAAAGTAAAACGTTTCAAATCCAATTTACCTTCTTCTACTAATTGCTCCATTATCTTTACATTAATTTTATAAGTTTATTAATAGTTGTCCGGAAATTGTCGGAGCTTTCAACATGGTAAGATTAAAATTACTTTACCGTCAATGTCGCTCGATTCCAATCGCTGGTAGGCTACGGAATCGTCTGAGAGCATGCAATTTTGAACATTAAGGCAGAACAGTATATAGTAAAACATAAAGCAAGCCGTACACACACCCAATGGTTAAATTCTACCACAGAACATTACAACTTGGAAATTTCAGCAGAAATGTTAAATAGCCCTGAAATATCAATTATTTAAGCCGAAAATCCCATAGCCGCTGAAAGTTAACTGTAACACCGCCCTTTTTGTAATTGGGCCGGCTTTCAATTATGGTTGCACGCAGTAAAATCTGCTTTTTGCGCCCATTTCACACTAATTACTACCATTTTTTGCCCTTGTCGGATTTGCTTTGTTATCGGTCATGCACCGTTCACAGAGGAACAAATGGAATTGGAAATTACCACATTATCTCTAGGTAATGACACAGAACTCTAGATTTGAAAATGTTCCAATGTGACAATATAGAAACAATAATTTTTTTACTATATAATTTTCAGAATTGCAGATTAGAGCTTATCGCAATAGAATCATAATGTTCTGTCTAAATATTCAATTCAAAGCAGCAATTTTTAGGGTTCCAACCACATACACGTATATACAAACCTGTGGAAGATTTACTAGTATGAAATATGTTTCTTTCCTTGGTTAAATCAACCCAATTTTGTATGTCCTTATGTACAGCTTCCATACCTATTTTGCAATCGAAATCACAACGCATGCATAAAAGTAATAAAACAAAACACATTAACAACATGCAACATGAAAAACCAACATGAACAAAACAAATTAATACAATTTCCTTTGTTTTTCTTAACTTATATTATGCGTCGAAAGGTAGCACTTTAAGACCGTTTCAATATAAAATACTTGAAACTATATTAAAGCGATTCATAGGTAGCTTATTGAAAGATATTCATACACATGTGATGACCTAAAATTGTAGAATAATGTTGCCAACATGTGGGATAATTTTTCTGGAACTCACATTTCTTGCCACGAAAACAAGCATTAATAATTCGTGCAACTTTATTTAAATTCATCCAGAACTTTGACATCGCCTCTTTTGTATGATTAATGCCATTAAATAAAGTTATATAATTTATATTGACTTCATATTCTTTATAGATAATATGAACATCATATACGCAGGGATTATGACGCAAGCTCGATATTCTATCTAGCTTTAAGTGGCTTTTGATTATCAGGCATTAAGTTATAGATATTAATATTCAACTTAGTTAACAAATTTTAATTTATAATCAATACAAATGATACTCCATAGGAAATTCGATCTTCAAAGTAAAATTTCTTTTTTCTTTACTGATCATGGACCAAATTGGTCCATTAAACATTGGCTGCAGAAGTATAACAAACAAAATGTTGTTTGCCGAAAAATTCCATAATAAGTCAAAAAACTATTATTTTACATTAACAGTAAAAATAATAGTATATTTCTTGATCCCCTGGTAGAAAGTACACAGTTTCGCCACTGTCTTCGATAGCAAAAGAATGACTTTTACTCATTACAATGACATGACAATGACAATTTATCTTTCCGCCCCTTAGTCATAGTATATTCCGGTACGAGAGACGTCGAAGTAAGTCGAGAAAAAGTCGAAGGCCCGCCACTGCGTGAATGACGCCCTCGGCTTCGCCTCGTGCGCCAACTTCAAGCAGTGGCGGAACTTCGACTTTCGTCTCGCGTACCGAATACTATTTTTCTTGATCCTCAGTGGAAACTAGCCTAGAAAGAAAAAAAAGCTTTGAAAATGTTGTGAAACAGTCAACTAACTGACAGTCAGTGACAAAATCAAGCTGTCAGGGTGCATGGCGAAAGTTATTACTTTCCACACGGGATGAAGAAAATTTGTAGTGGGTAAAAGTGATGCTTTCGCAATGGAAAACAGTAGCGAAAGTACGTACTTTCCACCAGGGGATCAAAAAAGATGTATTTTTCATCGACGTTTAAGTTAAGCGATTACTTGACGTGTGGTAATTTTTCGAAAAATCAGGATAGGACGGGTTTATAAGAAAGTAATTTTTATGGAGCGCAATTATTGGCATATATACAGGGTGTTAGTAAATATATGCGACAAATTTCAAAGGATGATTATGCATGAAAAAATTACAGTAAGCTTTTGTATCGATTTTTTTGCAGTTGTATTGCTTCGTAAGTCCTCAAATGATTCGTTTCCGAGATACGGAGTCTCAAATTTTTTTTAATCTGACAATATACAAGGTGTCTCACGGTCAGCTTCCATTAGAATATTTCGGGAAGTAATGCGATTTGAATCCTGCGAATTTATATAATGTCATTTTGGGAGACGCTCTTTTCACATGAAATAACAGCGACATTATGCTACTTCCAACTATACTGGAAGTTATTTCAAACATCCTTATTTTAAACGGAACACCCTGTATAATGCGCTTGCGTGTGTTCCGTTCTTTATTCCCAACAAGTTTTAGGAAAAGTTTTTCTACTCTACTCTATCCGTTTCTCAGCAAAATATAGTTTTTTTCAAAATTTTATCAATAACAGGGTGTCGCTTAAAATTGAATATCTTTTCAAAGATCAAAGCTTGAAACTCAAAATCTCAATTGCAAAATTAGATATTATTGTGCTCGATAATGAATTATCCGAAAGAGAAATCTAGATATCGCCAAGTGGAAAAATGACAACTTTTATTCTGTCAAAAAAAACTGGAAAAACGTACATTATTTTGAGTACGATGATAGGTTGCTGATTCATTCAATTTTGTGTAATTTATATAAAATAAAATAAAACGAAACAAAATAAGTAGAATGTTGGGAAACAGTGGTAACATTGGGAGAACCTGCCAAATTATTCACTTTTTGAATGTGTTGAAAAGTGACACTTTCTGTCGGTTTTTTCTGGTGATTTTTCTTTTTAATTCAGTTTCAATTTTCAACAGTTTTTGAAATTTCTTCAATTTTTCGTTATTTTTTCAAAAAACTATAGTGACATTTTTCAAACTTTTTGTTTGTTTTTCCCAAAATTTGTTCTGAAATGTTTTTGATGAAAAATTGATTTGAGATTCATGGCATTTTGTTTTAGTTAGAGATTTTCGCGTATGTCTCTTAATACTAGCATTAGGTAAAAATTGGAAATTCAGCAAAAGCAACATAATATCAATGTGGGCATTGTTAAGAAAATTCCAGGGCATTCCAGGCAAAATATTTAATATCTATGAATTCAATTAACTATTTTTTCTTTCTATTATGTTTCAGATGTAAAAAAATGTAATTAATTGTCATTTTAGCCTAAAAAATTTCAGAAATTTTTCATCATAATAATACGCCATAATTTCCAACATGCTTTAAGTCCGTAATCAGTGGTACGATTTATCTGGTGATCTGCAATAATTGGCGCAATTTCGTGGCAAATAAGTCGGGAAAAATTGTGTAGTATAATACCGGCATTGATTGATTAACATTATTGATGCAAAAATGAATACAATAATTGCTACTTTTTTGCTCCTGATATATATTTAGCTTATATTGGTTTTGTTTAAAAGAGTTCCAAGGAAGTATCGTGAATGTGGACAATTTGAAAACAGGTGGTATTTAGCATGCAGAAATCATCAATAATAACTGAAAGAAATATTTGATATTCATTTGAATTTTTTGTTGACACATATAAGATGTCCTGTAAACAAATCTAACTGCACTTTTGGCAAATCATTGTTCTATTCGAAAGGAAACATAAAGTGAAACTTGGACATTTCCCTCTAACAATCGATGGGACCATTAAAACGGTATCGTGTCTACAAGTAAAAGTAATTACTTAATCGACTATGTAGGTGTCAGGTGTGTCCGACGATTATTAATCATTGCGCAATTAACTGGAATTCTGCTCGTCCTAAAAGGGTTTCGTAATTAGAACCATCCCTGTTTTATCTGAGCCGGACAAACTGACTATAGTCTTTCAAGGAATTATCGAACTGGTTAACTCGAGTTTTCGCGCTGAATTAACGATCTTCGCCTGTCCAGTTGATACTTTAACGGATTGTGCTCATTGTTTTGTAGATTCGTCTAATAGAAAACCATTCCCTAAATTATGTTAATTATTATTTTTAACCCAAAACGTTTAGCGCCGTAATCATATGAAAATACATTTCTTTTAAAAATCATGTTCAAGAAACGCCGTGGAAAAAAATTGGAAAGAGTCTTACATTCCAAAATCCGCAGTGGAATCTGAAATTTGCATCAACCACATTTGGATTTGGGTAAGGTTTTTTACACTTTTCTCATATTGTTTACAATTATTAAACATTTTATCTAATTTGTCAAGTATGTTGGAACTTCGCTAAAAATACCGTAACACATCGAGCAAAAGTGCACAACCAGTGGTTTCAAAAAAAGCAAAAGGAAAACATATTAATATTAATGAAACACAGAAAACAAAAGTTGATGAAAACACGCGAACTTACAAACTATAACTAGGCCATCGGTTTCCAATCGGGGACGTTTTGAATGAGGACCTGGATTTGTTTGAAAACGATACTGTCTTAGTTAATTGGGTCTCCACTTTAAAGGCGGCGTCTAATTTTCTTATATGTTTGTCTTTTAAAAACTAGAACCGTTTCTAAATGATTTTATTTACCGGCAATTTCACCGTTTCAACACCTCATTTTTCTAAGTTTATATTATAAAGTGCTTGTAAAAAATGTATACATGCTTCTAACACATAAATCGATTGTATTAGTAAATTTTCCTAGTATAATTATATGGTCACTTATGCCGACTATTCTTATAATATAAGACGTAGTATCGTTTCTGCTAGGATCAGAGAATTCAGTCATTAGATGTTTGGTCAGAAGTCATAAGAATTAAGCTTAAAGATTAATTTAATTAAATTAAATTAAAGAAAGTCAGTCGACGGTTAGGTTCGGTCACAATTAAAATCCATATTCAAAATTGTATTAATTTAAAATAAAGTTGTTTTTAAAATCGAAAGTTTTAAATTAATCAATAAAATTGTATGGAACTAGAAAACAGCAAATGCAACGTAAAAACTTTTTTTAAACCATTATTCACTTAGCGGCAAATGTATTGCATGTTATTAATTATTTAAAAATAATTGGTGTTTAATTTTCGAAAAATCGTTCGGACTCGACGATTTTTGTTTTAATTGCGCATTTTCTACAATTACAATATCAAGCCCTTTTTGAAATGAAAACCCGCAATTTTTTTATTTTATTTAGTTCTTTTCAAAATTCTAATAATTTTTTTCTGGGATGCAATTCCAAAGCACATAGAGTTGCCTCCAACGTCACCTGATCTCAGACCCTTTGATTATTTCTGATCCGGTTATTTAAAATCCAAGCTTTATGTGAAGCGGGTGCGAAACATCGAACGCTTAAAAACCAAAATTAGACAGAAAATTAGGAATATTGACAGAAAAGCACTCAATAATGTTCAAGACAAATTTGTACATAGGCAATTTGAGCACTTGATTTAACACTTTTAGTCTTAATTTTAATTAGTTGACAAATTTGGGTGGCAATTGCTTAGGTCTAAACACCAATTACCCGAAAACCGTTGAAGATAATTATAGCTACATAAAAATGAGTAGAATTTTGTAGAGAACTTAATAAAATAATTAAAATAGAAAAAGATGACCATGATATCACAACCTTTTTTGAGCCATCTATAAATAAAAATTGGTTGAAAAATTGCACAATGAAAAACAAAAATCGACGAGTGCGAGCGATTTTTCTAAATATAAACACCTGATTTTAAATAATTATAATTATATGCAATAATTGTGCTGCTCACTATATGTCTCTTAAAAGCGACTTGGAAACATATATTTCACAATTTATAATATAATGTTGAAAACAAAAATGGAGCTTTCTAAAGCTGCCAAAGTTATAAACTGTGAAAGCGATGAATATTATGTTGAAAATATCAGCTTCAAAAAAAATTTCGCAAAATCTATCCGCTAAGAAACTTTACATAATTCAAGGAAAAGACATATTTTACAATTAAATACTTATTCATATCGGACTTGAGCCCATACGCCGCCGAATTATAATAAAATATTGTAGTAAAATCGATAGGAATTTGCAAATTCCTTAAACATTTTACAAATTTTTGGCTGCTGCTTTTTTAAAGAAAGTACATTTTTTTAGTCCTCGTATATTGCCGTAGGTTGTTTTGAAGAGAAGTCCTTTTTACTGCTCTGCTTGCGTTTCTTCAATATAATCTGGTAAATACATACATACGCAAAGTCCATCAGATGTTCCACAAAAAATTTAGTTTTCACACGCAGCGAATTGATTGTGGAACAAAACGAGCTATCTTTTGCCTGAATCTATATCTGAAGTCCCTGTTACTCCTGAACTAACCCATTATTTCATTCTTATTTTGTTTTAAAGTTGTTATATTAATACAGACGCTTAAATTTTTGTTTCTTAAAACTGTTTCTGGTCCCTACGCGGAATAGAACGGGTAGTTTTTAAAAGCATTTTTTTAGAGTTGTTTCTTTAATACAGACGCTTACATTTTTGTTTCTTAAAACTGTTTCTGGTCCCTACACGGAATAGAACGGGTAGTTTTTAAAAGACAAACCATACTGAGGGGTTTCAAAAACCTGCTGATAAACCGGGAGCTGTTGCACAGTACAGCCTGCAAGCAGTGAAATACTACCTCTTCCGTAGGCTTTTCAGCTAACATTTTCAAAGAATATTAATAGCAAACAAACATCAACGTTAACAGTTAGTAGGGGGACACGAAACTCAAAACAGCACAGTAAAAATCACTAAAGGGAGTCAATCCTAACCTTGCACGCTCTGCAACAGGGCCTGCCCTAAATTAAGTGGGTTTCCCTTAGGGGCTGAATTGATAGCAGTGGCAACGCTGCTCGAAGGAAAGCCGGAACTTGTAGGCGCACCCCTGGGGGACTGAGGGGGCGTACTGGGGCCTAATGGGGCATGAAGAAGAAGAAAATGCACAAAAATAGTATGATGGCGCCTAAGCGATAAGCCAGCATTGAGTTAGGGTGTTGATAATAAATGTTGCAGAAACACAGATCGTTGAACAAGAATTTACTTGTTTTGACGAATATGGGTTTTCACTAGTTTACTATTGAACCAATGATGATCCATACGATCACGCATCAATTTTTTCCTTATCAGTTGTCAGGTGAGAACTTTAACAATAGAAAATTGTGGAGGCTATTTTAGTGGATATACACGGTGGTGCAACCAAGATGGAGTGGAAAATTACGGCTAACTGGAGTGCAATTTTGAATTGATTTTTATATGCGATATTGGCATCAGTAGTGGCCATTCTTAGTGGGAGTTTAATATGCCACGCAGTTTTGGGAACACCCTGTGTAATGAAAATTATTTTCATGGATGACCACTGTTGTTGCCAATATCGCATAAAAGGTACGCACCAGTTTGAATCTTCCACCTCGCCCTGTATTTGAAATTTTCCGTGCCACTCAACATATTAGGAAAAGGTCCAGAGTGTGCATTCACAAAAATGGAAATTTGTTTGAACATTTACTCCAGTAAATTAGTGTCGATAATAATTTTACTTAAAATATAAAATGTGTATGGATAGCAGTGATATTTTTAAAGTCATTTAGTTGGAAAATGGTGAGCCTGAGCGAAGTAAACTGAGAGTGCTTTGCTTCGTAAAATACTTCAGATTTCCACAATTTGTAGAAAAAAAAGTTGATTTGTAGTCTCAGAAACAAGTTAGAGCTTTTTTGTATTTCTCCCCCCGCCCCCCAAATGATACGTCTATGATGAAATTCTAACAGTTTTAATTTTAGATCAAAAGCATATCAAAATTACGAAAGCTCCTAAAATTTACGTTTTGAAGTCCTGAACCTATTAAGGCTTATTACTAATTTTCGAATCTGATGAAAACATCATTTCGTCCATCAAACCATATAAGATCACAAATAATGGCGTGACTTCACTTAAAAATTCTGATCCTTCCCGAAAAGAAATTTTCAGCAAACACGTTTTAGCGATTTATAGACAAATGTCTCTTTACACAGCACATTTTCAGTAGCGGGAATTTGATTTTTTTACTAATTCTTCAAATGCTGCAAATGTTGGTTCTAGGAAATCCCCGACTATAATTTACCAATTTGAAATGTATCTGGAATGGAGGTAGATACTCATTGTAAGCGCTGTAATTTTCGATATATTTTATTATTATTAGTAGTATTTTCTACCCCTAGTGAACAGCAGCCTCTTTAAGAAACCTCACTCTTTTACTTTTATTTAAATCGTCCAACTGAGCACAAAGTAAAAGTTCGCTGTCGTGTACAGTTATAAAATTTCCAATAAAGTTTGAAAACAAATCAAAATCGCTCTCTGCTTATGTAACTATTTGATCTCCTATGAATTTGTCTATTTTTGGAATTTCTGGGTGACCTTCCGTCATTTTCCAAGCAAATATTTTTTCAATAAATACTGTTCTGCGAATTCGTCACGTACAGCAGCGCCCAAAGGGATTCGCCGAAATCCTGGATAAAAGGAGATAAATTAAATTTTCATTTAGCAAATACTTGTGCTCCCAAAAAATAAACTTAGTTTTCTCGGTCCGCCTACTATTATTGCTTATTTCGTTTCGAAGTTTTGTTCTTTGCGGGTCGGGGTCGTGCTTGGAATTTTATTAGACCGCTTGATTTATAATGTTTCGCAAATTCGCTTCCGCCACATTTAGACACCAAGAGTGTTTTCACTCGATTGAATTTCCCAAATAAACTAACAAATTATATATATTAGAAGCATTCGGAATCGGGTCGCTGAGTTTTGGAAAACAAATAGGAAAATAACATTTTTTATATAAGTAAATATGACCAAAAATTATATCATATGAAATAAATATAATTCACATTTGTGAGTGTCTTCAAAGCGATGATCTAGTAAAGAATATCTAAGATTAGACCACTAGTAAAGCTAATGCACATATTAAAGTCATTTGATCTCTTCAAAATCAATCATAATGTATGTTGCTTGCTGAACACCTTCAGACTTCAGACTTGCTTCTATTTATAACATACACATAAGATTAATTTCAAGATTTGGTATTCATTTCATTCACTACTTTATTACGTTGTTGAGAGTATAACTCAGGATGTGAGTGAAAATTCGCAAAGAAATTTTAACGTCTAATATACGTTAGAAATATGCCGCAAATGTAGTAAAACTTTTTACTGAAAAAAAACAAAATTCTGATGAATTCAAACAGGATACTGATCACAATTGTCATTTTGAGTTAAAATTTAAACATTTTCTGTTAACAATACTATTCAAACATTGATACTCGTATTTCAGTTCAGTCTAGTTCATCACCGAATCACCGTTTTATATATTTTTTTTTATAATTGAATATTTAACTTTGTTATGTGCAATATTATGTCTCGAACGTAAAATCGAACAACACATTTCTTATTATTCTGTTCTTCAATCTTCTGTTATTTGAAAATATTCTCTATTGAATTTCCTCAAAGATAGTCCTTTGCATGTATCAGATTTTTAAATATCCATTTTCCTACAAACAACCGATTGAATAAAAACTGTGAAAACCTGTAGCGTAAGTAAATCTCTTGCCCTAATTTACATTCTCCAAGAGTGCTTAAATAACTTGGACTTTTGGATCCCAAATAAAGTCAGAATAGAGATACGGTAAAGTTATATCTCTTATATTAGGTACTTATTCCACAAAGTATGTCAATATCTCTCGTGCGCAGAACATCTTTAATCTTAACCGCTTTTATATTTAATCGCTCAACGTTATTACTGTTCTGAGATTAAAAAACCGTCATAAAACGTCATAAACATTTTCATTGCAACTACCAAAGTCTTGCAATGTAGGTATTTTTTAAATTGTTGAACATTTATTACTATTATTCTTTCTAGCAAATTTTTCATTCCGATACATTCAATTCTTACGACTTATTGATTCCTAATTTTGTCTCAAAAAGTAATAAAATTAATTTCTATATACATTTATAGTTAATTATATAATTATTAATTAATTATAGTAAATTATAGTATTATAATTTCTTAGATGTTACTATGTTTTTCCAGCCTTAACATTATCATCGGAATATTCATAATTTTCTTTCTGCGAATATATTTTCCGAATATATAAGTTTACGGCAAACCCATTGAAAGTGCCGGTGTAGTCGAAGTAACTTTCATATTTTTACAACATTGCTCGAATAGCTATTATCTTATTGTTTCAAAGGAATAATAATAATTGTCGAATTACGTTAATTTATAACACGATTTGATAATTGTACCATGTTTGAAATGACTTGACGAAACTACTTTTGAATCCGAAAACATATTTCAAATTTACTTTGGATGTCGAAGTTACGGCTCTTAAATTACTTACAGATGCACTGTCTAAACTAGTTTTGAACTAGTTCACTCATTTCGGAAACTGAAAAGCGATCCAAAACGATATGAACTTTTGTCAAGCAAATTATGATTCATTGATCAGTATTATTTTACTTCAAAAATAGCAACAATATTAACAATCTACGTTAAAATCTATATTTTGTCTTCATTGATATGGTTATCCTCAACTTTATAAAATCTCTAAAAAAAGTAGAATTTAAATAAAACACCCTGCACATTATGTCAACAGTTAAAAATTTTAATGTCTTTATCAACGTTGAGTTGAATTTGGAAATGGGAATAAACAAGGAATTTAAAATGCTTTTAAACTGAGCCCTCGGTAAGGCACAATTTTCCGTGTCGTATAACTTAAATAAACCTGTTTATTGAGGATGCGATAAATAGCAGACTATAGGGAGATTTGAAAAAAAATATCTGTTAGTTAAACAATTTCGGTGAGACTTGATGTATATGTTTCAATCAAATTTGCTGTATATAATTTAAAAATTTGTGCAGTAACAAAAATTTGAAAGACAGTTTTCGAGTTTGTCGTCTCCCCTAAACAGTTTCGGATTAATAAATCCTTTAGAAACGCACACAACCTGGATTGTTGCAAAATGAACCAAATTCGGAAATATTTGAAGCCGTTTTATGGGATAATGTAAACTGTATAACTAACATTCAACCAGAATATTTTTACATAAAATATAAGAAATATCATATTAATGAATAACATGTGATTTAGAAGCACCCTATATAAACTACAAATCTCGAGTGGAACACAATTAATCATGTTGAAATCGATCATTTCATATTATTTGCATTGAATGTTCCTTAGCTATCAAGCATGGCGAATCAAACGGATTAATTGCATTTTTCGCATCTGCTGCTACTTTTCCAGTGCCAGAAAGTAATGCAAACATGTTTGCGTATGTTCGTTTCAAGTGGTGTCGATTAAATCGACAATTTAATTCAATTTCGATCTACGTTTTAGCCATGTCTATGTAAAAGTGAATTCCGATGTAAATATCCCAATATCTACCAGCTTCAAATGCATTTCTGCTAGGAATTAACTTACTATTCAACAATTATGTTGCTATAGGATATACAACACTGGAAATTGCTTGAATTTATTCACTGAACATTTTAATTTAGGTTTGATCGGTAAATAGTAATGGGAATTTTGTTCCACCACATCAATGACCAGTGACTACTGGCAAAAATACGTACTCTCGCGTTTCTTTGAAACGCCCAGCACCGCTGCAAGGGCCGACATGGTATTTCCAAAACACCCAATTTTGACGGCCTTAAAAGTACACTTGAACTGGAAAAATATTTATATGTTTATGCAGAATATGCACTAAACCGACGCCGAAAGACCGAACTTTTCTTCGCTTTGAGGACCGCACGATATAAAGACATTCAAATGCGAACGTTATAGCTAAAATCGATTCGTTCCCGTTGATTTCCTGAACTAAATTTAACTATGTACAAGTCCAGACGAGTTCAACAATGTTTAGTTAAAGGGGCCCCCGGCCTTAGTTAAAAACTAGTGCGTACTGTCACTGGTCCAAAATTAAACTACAGTCGTTCGATGAAAATCTAAGTGGGTACTATTATTAGACGTTAATACTACACCTATAAGATTCGATGGGATGTTTTTTGTTTACCTTTGCACGAGCGCTGTACAAAAATATGATCTTGTGTTATGATTTTTAAAGTACGCGCTTAGGTATTTGGGAAATTTTATGACGGATAGTCGCTGACAACGATGAGCTGGTTTAACCAGCGGGTTATCAACAGTATAAAGTGCGCTAGATGTTTTTTTGCAGTAAATCTACACAGCCTACACAGAAAAAGTTTAAGTACACCCTGTGTAGAGGATTAGTGGGTAAATGAGCATCAACAATGTCTGCAAATATGCGAAAGGAGAATGTTTATTGGAAAATTAGGTTTATTACTTTCTACAGGTTCTATGGGAGTTTTGAGCGTCTAATTATCATAATATAACGTTTCGGATATGCCGAGAATCTGCCAGATCCTGATAGAACATGCTAAAGTGCGTTAATAAATTGTCACATATTTTTCGCAGCTTTATTCCTGGGAAAATTGGGCTTTTAAAAGCGCGTTGAAAATTCGTTTTACTTAAATATTTCAAAAACATTGCGGTGCAATTAAATATTTTTGATGAATGTCGGTTTCAAAGGCCCCTAAACTGATCCCTATAAAGCACTGATCCCTACTTTGCTTATTTAGCTCTGCAGGGGTCGCTCAACTTTAACACGAAAATGTTTCTCGACCTTAAAACATGTTTTAAGATTTACTTATCATTGTTATCGGTCATTGTTATAATAAAAATAAAACGTTTTCTAGAAGATGTTTTAACACGTTTTCGGTGTTTATAACTTAACTGTGGCAACTCGCAAAACAAAGTTCGTTTGAAATTATTTTCTTCGTAATCATTAGATTTACGTTTATTAACTTTGTGTAGAAGTTGTATTTTTTTAGTTCACAATAATGTTTCGTATATTATACATTCTTTGTTAATTTAGCATTTGGCGTGGTTTATTTGAACGTGAACTTTATCACTGTTTCCTTATTAACATGCAAGATCGGCCATTTTAAAGTACATAAAGTATAAGAACCTAACTTCATATATGTAAGCGTTTTCTCTTACATACGTTACTTTGTCCGGGTAATATTGTTGATGTTCTTTAGCAAAGAGGCTTAGTTGATGAGAGAAAATCAATATTTTACACAATTATGTACATATCATACACTATGCATTATGTATTCCACTTTGTTAAACCAAACATATTTGAAACTCAGTAGAAGTAGAAGCATAGAATAAATGATAAATGTAATCCACTAGTCAGAGGATCTGAATTTATGTACAGTTACCAGCAAACATTTTACCTACAAATCCTCAATATGCCTTAGAAACCCAGAATACTGAAGAAGAAAGTAATTATGTTTTTAATAAATTGTTAACTTTTATTATAACGATGCGTCTTCCAAATGAACGATAGCATACAAAAAATACTATAAATAGCACATATTTTCAAGCAAATAAATCCTGAAACTCTTTACACTTAATATTCTGAAACACTTTGTACATTTTCCTGCTATTATCCCAGGAGTACTTTAACAATATCATTTACAGATAAAAACTTTTTTTGGTTACAAGTGAGTTGTCTCAGTTTGTTAATCATCGTTAACATCTTGTTAATTATATAAAATTGAAACATAAAATTTGGAAATATTTGAAGTGTTTAGTGAATTCCTATGATTACTAACACGCGACTGAATTTGTGTACAAACTATCAAGTATTGTTAATTGAGATTACTTTGATCGGTATTTTGGAGGTGTTGCATCCTCATTACTGGAAAATGTAATGTTTTGCTAATAGCACTTTAGGAGTATCAAAATTTACAAAAAGTTAATACGTTTCTTAAAAATTGTTATAAAAACGGTAAAACCGTAGCCACTTCCCAAAAAGGCAAAACAAGACTGAAGAAAACTCTTGAGGCTTCATTGAACTGGTTCTCCTTCAAGGAATTTTCATTATCGCGTTTAGAATATCACTAGTTGCATTTTTTCCAATACATACAATACAACAAAATTCTGTAAACCAAGCATTTGCCATAAGAAATCCACGTGTTGAAATGATGAATTGACATTAGACCTACATAATTCTTATGATTCTTATTGGACTATCAACTTTTGCTATTGTGAATTTATATTACGCACTAGAGATCTCAGAAAAAAAATACCTTTATTAAACGCAATAAACTGCGGAAGCCTCTATTTAAAAAAAACCAAGGCATGATGATTACTACCCTTAATTAAGCATTGTCTGTATTCTCCGGCAAATTAGAGATCTTTTCAGAAATTTATGTCAGTTTTTGTCATTTTTCTCCATATTCAGAATTTGAAGCCCCGCAGATATTTTGCTATCCTTGGAATGTTTGAATAACGGACTAAACATCGGGTCTAATTTCAAAACTTTTGTACTAGGAAGACATAAAATATACTGAATTTAATATAACATAAAATATACCGATTAACACATCTGCAATGTTGACTCGTGTTTGTTCGAATTGAATTTCTTTAAAAAAATCATGCAAGAACAACCATTCATATCAATAGAGTTCAGCAAAGTTCACCCTCAAGTTGATGAAACTGTTTAAGTTCCCCACCTTATTTAATGCTTATGAACCAATTTGATTTAAATACCATTAGCCTGCAAGAAATACAATCTTTAAACAAAATCCATAAAATTAATTTCCGGAGCTGCTTTCGACGGGCTGTTAATATGAAAAGGGAACAGGAAGAAATGGCTGTCGATTTAACGTTTAGCTGAAATAGTTTATAAATGGTTTGGTTTGGTACTTGGAACACTGTGTGTCTACTAGTTTTTCTAGTTCTAGTGAACTTAGTACTGTGCTCATTTTCACTTTTTTAATTAGTTTTACCAATTCCCTTATTAGACTTTTACTTATTGGAGATTCATAGTCTCATGGTGAGGTGGAATGTCTTTCTGATGTTTCCTTAACATGAAAAATTCGAATATAAAGTTGCACTATCAGAAGTAATTGTTCGAAAGTCGCGTCACCTTTTGTAAGTCATCAAGCAATAGTTTCTGAATATGTAAGCTACTGGTGCATGCGAAACTTCTAGATCAAATTTCTTCGGGTTTAAAGCTTGAAAGACCTACTGTTCAAACTGTTCAGAATAACAATAAACAGTTCCAACTCGAAACAGAAGAGAAAAGCCACTAGTTGAATTTTATAATATCTAATTAATTTAAAATTGGTTATTTTAATTAGTATTATTATATTTCGTGGTTTTATAGCTGGTGGTATTTACACTTAAATATTTCCCTTTTTAAAAAACATGTACAGTGTATGCAAAGTATAGACGTTACTTGGGCGACAAATAGTTAACATTCATTAAATTTACAAGGACTGAGAACGTATCACTAGAATAAATATGTATTTTGCGGGTTGATTTGCTTTTTTACCATCATCTCTAAATACGCATAAATCACTTAGCATGTAATAAATAATTGTATTAATGTAAATTGTGACTTGGAACTACAACATAAACATGCAATAAAAAGTTGTTATATTTACCTCTTCAAGTCTTGAGCATAATTATGAGTAAAATTCATATTTTTTCACAAGCGTGAGTTGGCTACAAAGTAGCTTAACGAACCGTATAATGAGCAATAAACAAAACGATACATACTCATTAAATGACAAGTAATGAATGTTAATATGGTAGCGTTCATTACATACTGTGTATAACAAGCCTAGACGTAGAAAAAAGGCATACAAAGAACGATCAAATAATGTAAAAATGAGCTTCGAACCAAAGCGGAGCTTATTGTAAAAATCAAGCAATTAGTATAAGCTGGTATTTAATAAATTCAGCGTTAAAACTTGTGTCGGTAGTTGAAATAATGGACAATGATAAGGGAAAACCTAGCGAGATAGGGGAGCTTTCAGTCCTTTCATCGACTTCAGTTTTCATAACTTCCAGCTATCATTATCAGAAAACCCATATAAATGATATACGTTAAAGCACTGCGTAAAATAGTAACTTCAGCTTTAAATAAATGTTGTTTAATCTCCAATTGATTAATTGTAAACAAGTGAAATAGTTTGAAATTCCCATTAGAAAAGCACTTCATGGATACGTTAATTCAATTGATACAGTGCGATATATCTATTTAATAAATAACCGCGTGCGGGTTCGAGTGTTTCAACGATCCCTTGAAAACCATGAGATCATGTGAATATTTAAAATATGCGATATGTATAAAATAGTTTAAGGATGTTTTAAATAACCTGAACTAAACTTTCAAATGTTGCACAAGCTTTACCGATTTCATCAGTTTCCTAACTGCTAATAGCACTTTGTGAGAGATTTATTACCGCTTTTGTTGAAAGTTTATATTCGTTTTTCCTTCAAGCTATTGATAAAAAAATAATAGGATACTTAGCTGCTAGTTATTAGCTAACTGATTCATTTATCATGAAATCGACGAATTTCGGTTTGAGTTCATTTAAGACAAGGATAACGCCGAACCTCGCTAGGTTTTTCAAACAAAATGACCAAACAACGAATACAGTTACGGTGAGAAAGTTAAATGGTGGTAGAGATAGAGAGGTAATTAAACGATTTACCTTCGGGTTCTTTTGCAATGACTGTGGAACTGCGGTCGACTCCGCCCTTCTTGTCTTCTGAACGGTGTCCAGAACACAAAGAAATTTTATTGTCCATTGAAAAACAGATTTACTTACACATACCGAATGCTAACAAAAACAAAACCCCATCATGCTGGTAAGCATGATTTAATTGGGGCCAGTGCGAACAACAAATGATACTTGAGGTATCATTGGAAAAGGATAAAATTGGACACTTCTACTTTTACTTGTATTTTTCAGATAATGTAAGACTATTCATGGTTAAAACTTAAGTAACCACATATTGTTTTCGAAAAGGCTCTCTTGGTCATTAACGGATTAATTTGGCATTGATCGCTCATCTGTGCTTAGTTAATATATACCTATAGGACGTTAGTCGAACTTCAATTTATAACATATAACATGTTCTTGTTCTTGGTTTTATTTGAATCATCCATTATATCAATTGCTAATTGATCGAGCACTGCCTAATGGAGTAAACGTTTTTATCTCTATCTGCGCTCAATAAAATAAAGGGAAATGTAGAAGAAGAGTTTTGCAGGAACGCTCGTCAGTTATTCATCTGAGACATGAGAGATCAGCATAGTTCAACGTCGCTATAAAACTTTTGCAATATGAGCCAAATTGACTACATTTTGAACAAAAAGAAGTAATTTAGAAGAATAATAAACTAGGACTGAATAGCAAATTATTGAAATATAAACAGGAGTTACGTGAAATTGGGGACTATTCGCCTACCTCGGTAATATCTGTTCATGAAGTTAAATTTAATCAATCCAATGCCTTGAATATCCCTCAAACTTATCCGCTATGGCTTGCGCCTGCAGCGTGTTTCATTGCTCAATCACTGATACAAAAGCTTAAATTTCACTTTGGGTTGAGGAAATTAAATTTGGCCAACCCCCATTAATAATATAATATATTGGTTTAATTAATTTGCCGATAATTTTCTATTAACAGAACTAACTTGAGCAGAATTCAATGCCAAACTCAAAACCGATCTGTAGACAGACCGCAATGAAAACACGGTTTCTGTACATAAACCATTTCGACTCTCTCCAAGTGGTAAAAGTCAAACGTGTCCAATCAATAACAAAATTTCACAAGTTAAAAATTGCTCTCAGGCATGTGTAACTGGAGTAAACTAGCAGCCAGTCATGTTTGCAGGGGTTGGTGAAGTTGCTAAACATATAATAATGGTTGAAAGCCGTTTGATCCCCTTCACAAAATCGTACTTCCTTATGACCAAAACCATGCAAAGTGTTCACGGTTTGAAAAAATTGTGGAAAATTGTGATTCAACGCGACTATGGTGTGAATGATGTTAACAGTGCAAGCGCTGAAAGAAAACAGAATGCTTGACTTCCTCAGCTCTCATTCAGCAGAGAAAACATAGAAAAAGCAACCATATAGTGCAATAGCGGAAAACCAGTTGTTATAAAAAAATAATTGTTGTTGAACCCGACTTAAATTAACAGCTATGGGTTAGATGGCTAAGTTAAGTCGTAGTTCCGAAGATACCAAGTAGCAAATAAATACGTTTTTTATTCAGAAATAAACCAGTGGTATGTGGAATGAATGATTCTCCTATTTACATGGGGCTAAAAGGGAAAGTTTCGGAAAAAAAAATTTGAAAGGAAACTATGATCATGTACGAAGAGAAATTGAAAAGTTAAGGTGAGCTCTTATTTGAAATATTCTGCAACGTCCTCTTTTTGATTACTCTTTGAACGCACGACATGGTTGATTGTAGTAGCATTGTGACGCATATTTAAATTTTCGGTCGATTTGGAAGTATATTTTTAGGTGTTATGAAGACGACTTACAGGGTTTGATTTGCATCTTACCGCAAACTCATGGAAAGATCTGCAAATTTTGGTTTATTTCGCATAACGCCCTTAACCACTTATTGCAGCAAATACTCTCTAGTAAGATTAGTAGTAGCCGTAAAAAATTACATGTAACATTTTTTATTTATACTAAAATTGCTTAAGAAAAGCATGAAAATAACACCAAAAAGTACAAAAAAATATTACTTTGAAATACTGTTAGTTGGAGAGAAAAAACCTTCTTTTCACTCGGTCAAATCCCGCCCCAAGTAAATGACATGAACGGACTGAAGAAAAATCAATTATCAGCAAAATTGGTTAATAAATGCAGGTCTACAAAAGTTCCGAGCTTTTCCGAATTAAAATCGTTAGGGATTGGGTCAGAAGGATTTTAAAAGCTGCAACTCAAACCTTTGAAGTTAACTATTTCAGTTACATATTTTTGGTTTTGAAGTATGGTTACGGAAATAAATTAGGACTGTTAACGGGATTTTTTCGGTGTTTTTCCTGCATAAGAGGGTAATCCGGATTTTCGCTCACTGTTATTGTTATTAGATATTTTCTCTTCCTTCTGTAAATTTCGTAAGGAGCCATTGAGATGAGCAACACTTTTGCACCTCGCCAAAAACCCTTGACGTGGAGCTGTATATAAAATTCGTTTCACTTTTCTGAAAGCTCTGATTACGAATCCGAGAAAAATGGTAAAAATTAACAAATATATTAAAATTTTCATAGCAGACTAAACTGCTAATTCCGCTCAACTCTCAGATGTGCTTCTGCATTTTTAATTATCAATAACTACAGTTCTTTTTGTCCAATTGGAGTATTCAAAATTTTTATTCATTTGAAAGCTTTTTCAATAGATCGAATCCATATTTCTTTATTTCGTGATCTAAAATTAAATTTTAGAGATTTTCAACCATTTCCAAACTACACTCAGTTCTACATATTTCCCATAGTAAATAATCATTTTCGCATTACCATCAAATTAAAGTAAATCAAAACGCTCTTTCATAAAAAAAATATTTAATATAGATATTGATTATGAAATTAATAGTTATTCAAAAGGCTTACTATTCCATAAGTAATTGCTTTTTCAGGTCACGTAAAAAAGTCATTAAAGAAAGTAAAACTTCTAACAGAATAAATTATTTAGACAAAATAATCTGAACAACAAATAAGAAGCTAACATTAGCGTTTTCTTTTAATACTGGCCTCAATCACTTTTCGCTTTAACAGGCTCAATCAGGAGTTTGCTTCAATAACAGCAAGCGATAAAAAAATCTATTTAAAAAAATGTAAATTCAGATTAGTTAGAATTTAGACTTTGTTATTTAAAATGTGTAGATTCAGTGACCATTAATCCTCATAATCACAAAGCGAAAGGAAAAAAAATCAATAAATTGAGCCCAATTTCGAGTAGATGGTTGAAAACGATGTTCAAGCTTCCACAAAGCGACATATTCAGTAGATTTCATAAAGGAGGAGTATGAAGTTAAAATAATTTATTGGAAAATAAAGCGCCTAAGGATAAGATCGGATCCAAATGGGAAAACCATCAACGTTTAATGTCCATTAACGTTATTTAATAATAATTTCAGAAAGGCATTAAATGAATCGAGGTGTTGTCGTCAAACAACACTAACTTTATTAAAGTCTTCATTGGGCTACCCTATGATCACACAAAACCCATTAATTTATATGCGGGTTTATTAGTTAATATACAGACCGGTAAATTCAAATATAAATAACTAAAATTCCGATTAGATTGTTTAGCTACGAGGAATGAAAATAAATATTATTTTTCATATTTTTACATGTCGACATGGAGAAATCACTTGTGAAATTTGATGACTAGCAGAACACTTAAAATTTGAGCACACCTTAAAATCAATGTTAAAACCACTGCATTTTCGTGTTCGGTGCTTTATTGTAATACTGTGCATGTTTGGTCAGGTTGCAGTGGATAATGGACTTGTTTGCTTCATAATGGCTAAAACCTATGGGGATTAAGCAGGGCTGAAAATTTCACTTCTTACGAATACATTTCTGTGTAATTGCGACGATCACTTTTAGGGTATAAACGGAAAAATACATTTTACGTTCTTACCTTTTATGTCATCGTCTTCTAAAGTGGTGGAGCTGTCCGTGCTTTCCTTCACTTGAGAACCATTTTCCTTCTTGTTCGCTATTATACTCCGGCCTAGAAAGTGGAAAATTCGTTGTAGGATTAATTCATATTCAACCCCTTTAATTATAACCAATGATGCCCCACTAGCTGTTACATTTAAAATGCTTTCAATGCGGATGCATCACCAATTATAATTTCATAGATCACAGAATTTTCATAAGGGAAAATAATTCAAACAAAAATTAAGCCAATTCATCAAAAATTACATTCGCTGTGATGTATTGAACAATTTGCTTTTCTTGATAAACACGATTACGATTAATGAAAAACCAAACACAGAACAGATCTTGTTAAGTCGAATTAGGTCACATAAGGATTATAATATGACAAACTCAAAGAAAATGAAAAATTTGACTTTACATTCAACAAAATAAAACCATTAAAATTAAATTTAAAGTCTGATACATTTATTGATAATGAAGACAAAAAAAGCGGTTTTATGAAGCGTGGAATGTATGTGATTTGATGAGATGTAGTGGTATAAGCTGTTCCTTCGTGAAGATCATGAGAATTAAAGAAGAAACACATGCATAAGCTTGAAACTCACAGCATGACATTCTGAAGCGGACATTTTAAATGTTGTAAAATATGTGGAAACACTCTGGTGAAGTTTTACGCACTTGTTCTCTTGATTTATAAAACAATTTTCTAAATACCTAGATAGTCGGATAAATGTTAATTTGATTACAAAAGAACATTAGATTATATTCACAAAGTATTGATGAACGTTATATAGATACTCGTAAATATGTCTGTTTTTTTTACACGCAATGTCAAGAAAATGGAATTTTTTTTTTATAATTGATCCATTTTCTTTTCTATTAATTTATACAGTCAACAAATTTGGCGTTATTCTGGATTAATTAAAACCCACACATTGATTACATTAAATTGCCTCATAACATTTTTATCTGGGCTTAAAGTCACGAAAACTGACTACTTAAGTTGTAATTTACGAATCAAATAAGCTTTCGGCATGCTCAAACTAATTATGGATTCTGAATTCGGCCTGCTTGAAAACGAGATTATTCTAGATTTATTCCAAGTCATGAAAACGAACCGTTTACATTGTACTATGTTGATCTTTTTGCATAAAATTTAATGACGGAAAATGGGAAAAATGTTAACGTTTCAACAAAAATGTTTTATACGATGTCCGGAACACTGCGACTAAAATGATTATTTAATAAGCTATAGATTTCTGTTATTAGCTAGAAATTGAGGTCATTCGAAAGCTGGCTATATAGGGTTTGCGATATCAGAGAATCTTTAAAACAAATTAAACATATATCCAGTAATTTTGAGCTAAAAGGCTTAGGTAAATAGTTCCCAAGCCAACAAGTATTAATTTGGTATATAGATGATGCAGACAAATTACACATTAAGCACACGGGCGGACACGCATTAAAAATTAAGTACAAGGGCTCAAATTTAGAATTTATCTTTCATTCAAGAATAAGGTCAACATATTTGTTTTGTCTGTAAGACGTATAACTCGGCATATGAATAAATTTTAATGTGATTTGATAATTTATAATAATAAAAAGAATTTATCACATTCCGTTCGTATCGTAAATCGTATTAATATCGTAGTTAAATACTCAAAAGGTGTATTTTTGCTCATATTAAACCCGTTTAGGCAAGCATTTTGTTTACGTTACAAATACACAAAATAACCATTAACTCTAGCAAGACTAGTTCTTTCTGAATGTGGACGATTCTGATTTTTTAAACATTCAACCTGCCATTCTGTAGGCGCAAAATCAGCAGGCGAACAAACTTACTGATTGTAACAGACGTGAGTATAGAACATTTTCATTTAATATAAAGCTAGAAAAGAAATCACTTATAGAAAAACAGGCACCCTGAAGAACAAGATTGGTTCAAACGAGAGTAATAAAAATCGATAGAAAGAAACTTTGGCGAAATTTTTAAAAACGATCCATGTTAACTCTGATCGACTCGACTTCAATTATAAATACCTGGGCTAAGTTTAAATCTGATCAAGAAGAGCCATAACAACTTTAGTTTAGTGTGTCCAAACAACAAGGTTAATTTTTCATACAACAAAGAAGATGTGCAAGTTTTTAAACAAAAATTTTTAGTTGTGAAAGTTGGTCATTTAAGGTTTACTAATTATTTTTACAAAAAACCAAAGTTGCTTGAATAAATCTCAATTACCTAACTAAGCAGAAAAGAACAAAGTCTCAAACGTTGGGGCTTATTATTTATAATAGTTTTACCTAAATATAAAAAATACTACACTTTTTAAAGGCCGCTTTAAACTCGCGCCCAAACGACGTGACAGCTATCGACTTTCGCTGGTTTTCGCGACGTGAGTGTGGAACCGACGTAAGTAATGACAATGTTTTAACCTTAAGCAATGTATCTACCGTTTTACTACTTGACGCATGGGCGTCTTGTGATTAATAAAATCCAGCTGTCGTTCAATTAAACTACTTTAAAATATTAGCTTTTTCTTAAATCACAACATGAACTCATGTAAGTTTGGTACCAAATTTCCTAATCTTCAGTAGGCACTAAAAACCCTATTATTACCAGCATAACTTCTTGTGCAGAGAACGCTCCAATAAACTGCATGCAAGTTATGGGCAATTAAAAACTGCATTAAGAGTGCTATATAATAGACTCAATGTGGATGTGAATAATTTCTCTCAATGGCGTAAACTAAGAGAAAAAGAGTATGCCCACGATTACAACATTTAAAATGTAAAGCGAAATTGGGAAAAAAGAAAAATGAAAGGTTGCAAACATGTGGCTTTTATTCATTGAACTTGATCTGCTGGTTGCATAAAGTGTTCTTACCACATTCTGGTTGCGTCAGGTGAAGTGAAGTGAGGTAAGGTGACAAGTCCGCGTCAACCGACAAAACAAAATTACCAACTACCCAATGCTCACTAGATCTAAGTTAAAAAGTTTATGCACGTAGCTACTAAAGGGGAGGGGTAAAACCGCTAAAAATGTTTCTCGATATTTTCAAATTTCGTTTACTTTGCCTTTAAGTGTGAGATTGAAAAGCATGTTTAGCGGCTAATAAGAAAGGGCATTAAAAATAGCGTGTAGTGATGTGATCTGTGCAACATGATTTTTAAACACTATTCAGTCAACTGATGCATTTAGCTACTCGTTTCTTTCTAACTTTCCAAATAATTTTTCATTTAAAAGTCATGTTTTCATCTAAGGATCGATGTGGTGGATGTTTGTGTTTGAGCAAAGTAAAACTAAGTTTCACTGATTTGAACACAATACTGTGAAATAAGCTTTATACAAAAACATAAATCAATTGAAACGAAAGACAAATTTGTAGATAATCGATTGATCGATAATAGAAGATTGAAAAAATATCTGTAACTGTTCTTGAAATATAAAAAACTACCTTCAAAAATAATTGTCAACTAGAAATACATGCTTTAAGTGACAGTTACCACACAAAAAAATATAATATATACAAGAACTTTAGAAAAAATGCACAGTGCGATCGCTAAATTACCTACTAAAAATTGGACATTGGTGAGTTTCAGAATCAAATTTAATAATAATGTTATCAATTGGGAATTTCCAAATGATTGATTCTCAAAAAGTTACGCCAGAATGTTGGGTGTGGAGTCAAAGAATACCGCTACATTATCTTGATCATGAATTTTCAAGATATTCTGTATTGTAAGAAAATTTCACGATCGTTCACGACTATTTGTCAACACGTTACACGCAGGTTGTAAAAGCAAACTGCCGTACCTGCTTCACATTATAAGATTGTATGACATTCGAGTCTCATCGGCCCGTTTTCTGTAATGCTGAGAAATA